CATGCAAAAAAAACCCAGCAAGATTCATATCACGCCATACATCTTACTCGCGCTGCCTCCCCTGCGTCCCTCCATCCCTGTCCTCCAACAAGCCCAGACCGAGGAGACGCTCAGATTGGTGTGAAATCGATATTTAATGGGACAGTGCGTGTATGTGTGTGTAGGATTGATGTTGTGTGTCTCCGAGGATTTTAGAGGCTAAGCGTATGTCAGGGGAGATATTTATTGTGCATGCGCGCGCGTACGTCGTTAAGCTCAGATTGGTGTGAAATTGTGGTTTAATGGACAGGAAATGGTGTGTGTTATTTTTGGAGCAGACCTCTCTCATCGCCTCAGAAACTAATGAGCCACAGTCTCTCCAGGAGACCAAATGCGCACACACTAACAGCCATCGGTTGCACACACCTCAAAACTACACACTCATTTATCATTTACAAACACAGACGTAACCCCCCCGCCATCTCCCCCTTTCCCATTTCGCACATATAAACACCAAAAACAGCATCTTTAGTAACAGTGTCAGTTTGTGAAACACACTGAATTTCTTATGCACAAATGTGCCGTCTGTTGCGCATTTGTGAGTCAAATAAGTCAAGAGATTCACTATTATTCCACAGTCCTCATGTGTTGATGTGTAAGAATCCATCTGTATATGTACACAGATAAGCTGAGCATCTTAGCTACTGTATGTCAGCTAAACATTTTGAATGTGTGTGTGTGTGCTGTATGGTTGTATAAGACAGGGAAAGACAGAGAGAGAGAGAGATATTTCCAGCTGGACCACAGAATCTGGCATTGGACTAGACAGAATCAAGGTGACCCGATGCCACAGGGTGAAACAGACACACAGAGAGTCAGTTACACTCGTCTGTCGACTTTGACAAAAAAGCAAACACTCATTCAAACCCTGTCACGATTATTACATAAAACTAAGCCTGGTCATCTTCAGACAAACATCAGCATGAGAGCACTGAATTCAGGTTGAACATTCAAAGTCTCACTAAAGTATGCAAGAAAGTAAAGGCTATGGCTGCGTCCGAAACCGCCTACTACTCAGTAGGTACTGTATTTGAATTTAAACGTACTGCTCGGTCGTTAGAAAAGTACGTTCTATACAGTATGAATGTGAAAGTATGAATGGAATTCGGACGTACTACATCCGCCATTTTGTCATGGTCACGCGACCTACTTGCGTAATTTGCATCGCTTCACTCCCATTCATGAATTCGCTCGCGGGGCATCATGGGATAGCGCAGCGTGCATGAGATGCGCACTTCAGAATTTCGCTGGAAGTAGTAAGTCATCCGGGTACTTCTCGCATACTGATTTTCGAATTCTATGTATTCGGACATACTACTCGGCTCGCATACTGATTTTGGCGTACTATATAGTATGGAAGTATGCGGTTTCGGACGCAGCATATATTTTGAAACCTGGGTGTATTCAGATCATTCTATGCGAGATTGCAAACTCAGTTTTCACACTGCCATCTAGTGGTATGGAAGTGTGAAAAATGGCAATTTTCGCATATTCTGTCTGAACAGCAGTGGTGGAAAGAGTAATGAAAACTCATACTCAAGTAAAAGTAACATTAGGTGCCTAAAATTGTAGTGTGAGTAGAGTAAAAGTCTGATGTGAATATTACTCAAAGTATTAGTAAAAATTAGCTCTTTTAAAAGCACTAAAGAGTAGTGAGATGTGAGTATCACGCTGTAAAAGCTGACACGTTTACATGCAATTTGTGGATATGTGTGTAAACGTAACATTCTGTAGTGAATTTAGTTATTGCTCAGCAGGCACACAACATCATAAGACGTTAATATTAGGTTAGATTTAGGTAATGATGTCGAGTGACCAAATTCAAGATCTAGCCCATGTCTAAAGACAAAGTTATATTACATGTTCAATAACATCGTCAAATAGTGTTGATATTTTAAATTCAACGTCGAGCCAACATTTTAAACCACTGTTACACTGACGTCCAATACTGATATTTATTCATCAGGTATGTCAACCAAAATCCAACATCTGATAGACGTCATGGTGGTAACATCCACACAACGCTAAGCTGTAACATCATCAGACGTTGATATGTAGTTCGTTGTAGGTTGAATGTTGGACATTGACATCGGCCTGATGTCGAGTTCTGACGTTAACCCGATTTTCATTTCAACCTCCATGAAGTTAGGGTACAACATCAATCTGACGTCATGTTGACGTCTTGTGTCTGCTGGGTGTTTAAGGCAATTTCGGTCATCATACATCAAACATCCGTCATCTTGTCATAAGTGACATGCCTTTAAACAGTCTCTGGGTCAATGCATGTAAATGTTTTGGACATCTTCTTGGACAATGTTAATCTTCCAAATAATTTGCTGCAATTCAAAAAATCACCCATGTCTTCAGTTAGTTTTTGATGTGATTATAATGCAGGTTCCTGCATCTCGTTTATATGCAGAACAGCAGCTACGCTAATTATTATGTGTATTCTCTATTTCCACTTAGGGATACTCGGACTATGCAGCGCCACTGATTCGACCCAAGACCAGCGACAAGATGATCCCAAGCTTTCCATATCCTGGACCAGGCCGTATCCTGAGCAGCTGCTGTGGTGGTCAAGGAGGAGTGGAGAGCATGTGACTGATTCCTGTGACGCTCCAGGGACAGACGAGTCTTCGCTGAGGTCCAGCATTCTCCAGCCTCTGGTGCCCAGACTGCAACTCTGCACAAGACGTTTGGCCAGAGGAGAAATGGTTGTGCCCAATTGAGCCTGGTTTCTCTCTAGGTTTTTTAATTCTTCACTTTCGCCAATTGGTAATTTTTTTTCCTCGCCGCTGTCGCCACTGGCTTGCATGGTTTAGGATCTGTAGAGCTGCGCATCGATGGATTTGCTCTTTAGTGTTTGGACTCTCAGTAGTGATTATTAAACCACACTGAACTGAGCTAAACTGAACTGAACTTAAACACTGAAAACTGAACTGACACCGTTTCAATTTACTATGATCTTCTATGTGAATCTGCTTTGACACAATCTACATTGTGAAAGCGCTATAGAAATAAAGGTGAATTAAATTCAATTAAAAGTACTGATACTGCACTATAAATGTACTCAAGGGAAAAAAGTACACACAGTTTTAAAACTACTTAGTAAATTACAATTCCAAAGAAAAACCACTCAATTGCAGAAATTTGAGTATTTGTAATTAGTTATTTTACACCACTGCTGAACAGTTTATGCAAAAATCACAAGACTGGTCTCACTACATTTAAAACAAAATCAAACTGATATTCAACATTAAAGTATTGGCCATTTTGGCTGTCAGCCATTTATGTCCTTATGCACATTAGCATTTTTGACTACATTATAAACTTGCTGAGAACCTTGAGTAAGGTGCCAACCTGTGGTCAAAAATATATCATGAGATTTCCAAAAACATGCTCATAATAATGCTTATGCTTATCAGACTAGTATTGAATATGAATAGTTATTCAGTATTAAACAGAACTGTCTTACGTCTTTTAAATGTAAAAAGATTTAACTAGTAGAAACACAATTTTCATCTGGAAAAAAAACTATTTGAAGGCAAATCACCAATTTGGTTTGAACACATCTTTTTTTAATGACTTAATATAAAATAAGAACTTTTACTAGGAAACAGCCTTTTAAGACTATATATACAAGACTTCCAACCCAGGCTCATTCTGAAAACGTAGTCAAGCAGACGTTTCTGGCAACCGCGAAATACGTCCTGGAAGGTACTAATTTGTGCAGTTTTTGTTTTAGCGAACCCGGGAGAGGCCGCTGTGTGCGCTTTTTCGTATCTCGAACGTCTCTCGCGAGTGCCGTTTGCGCCCGCGCTGTTCTCTTGTCAACCCACCAGAGGCCGCTGTCTGACTGACCGCGCGACCGGCCAATCGGCTGACCCACCCTCCTCCTTCCCTGAACCCAACCAATTTTACTGATTGACCCGCCTGCCTGCTCACTTCCCTAAACCCGAGCAACAATTTAGAAAAGCCGTCTAGAAAAAGAAAAGCCCTCGTCAGTTTTTTTTTTTTTTACGTTTTCGGATTTCACCAAATTCTCACCCTGTCATGAACTCGTTCGCTTTATTTTTTGGATTCTGTTTTTGTCTTACCTGACTTCTGGAACCGCTCTTCCCCTGACTCGAACCCGGACACCTTTGTCAACTCCTCCTCTCTGCATCTGAAGTCCGCTGACGCACACGATGAGCTGACTGGACAAACTGATTGCGGCGGGAAAGCCCTTCACACAGAAGTAAGCGGTCAGCCGGCAAGCGCGAAAGGGAAAAGGCATCACACCGCCCCGTAGCGTTCGCTTAAAAAAACGAAATGCAGCCATACGTACCTCCCGGGACGTATTTCGCAGTATCCAGAAACGTCCACGGGACTTCGTTTTCAGAATGATGTTGGGTTTAAGACTTCTCATTGCCTGGTAATTAGTTTATTTATCATGCTAAAACATCAAGATAAATGTGTCAAACTTTTGTTTAAAGGGCACTTACGATGAAATTTAACTTTTGTAAGCTGTTTGGACAGAACTGTGTGTAGGTATACTGTGTCCACTGTAATATTGGAGTGATATAAAGACAAGTCTCTTTTTAAAAACTTACTGGCATTAAAATAAGATCCAAATCCCAGTGATTTTAAGGCCCACCACATCGTGACATAAGAGTGGGGTTTTCACCCCCAACTGAATTGATTGACAGGTGCCAAGTTTTTATAATATCGTGTATACACAAAACATTATTTGCAAAGAAACTGGGATTCAAATATGTTACAACTCTCTGTGATCAGCTGCCCCTCAATAATTAATTGTATAAGTTTTTAAAACAGCATGTTTGTAATACACACAGTAAAATCGCTATGTAATTCTTAACCACATAGTGTTAGTAAATGTGCATAAGTGTGTGTACCGCAAACGGCATTTGTGTGAGACTCATCATTTCAGAAAGGCTTGAATAGACTCCACCACAAATACGTTAAATTACTCTGTATTTTTAATTTGTGGCTTTATTTCAGCTTCATCCGTGTTTGTCTCTATCACTGACTGCTGTTTATCTGCTGTGACACAGGAGAAGCAGACAAGCACGTGTGAGCGGTGGATAGGGAGAACCAGCTCATTTGGATTTGAAGCCACAGGCTACTAAAACACCTATACTGTCATCAGACACCAAAATGGGCATATTCTACATTATATAATAATCTGACGGGTATTTTGGGCTGCAACTAAACAGACACATTCTGAAGACACCAAAGTCGTATCTTACATCTTGTAAAAGGAGTAAAATAGGTGCACTTTAACTAAAACTGACACCTGATTAACATATTAAATAGGTTGTCATGACTTTTTGATCGTACCATTTATATAGTTAAGAAACACAGCCAAACACAAAACATAGGCCATGCAAGCACTCACAAGTCATTTAACAAACCTAAACTCCAGCCAATCATTTAGCAGTAAATCTTCACACAAACCAATCCCACAAAGGCATGAGCCAATCCTGAACCATCTTAGCTAAAGTGCTCAATGCGGCGAACAGATGGGTCATGCCTTCTTTCCCCTTAAACAGCCTCGCTCTCATGGCGTTCCAGCGCGGGGGGCAACGTCGAGCCACAAGGACCCTCAAAGTGATATCTGTTGGTGAGAAATAAACCACACGCAGGCGTTCAATTTCTTGCTTCAAATCTATGCTTCAGTGTTTTCTCAAATGTGCCAGCGAAAGAGTCACTTTGAGTCCATGTTTGAACGATTGAACATCTGTGTGTTAAATGGCCGACAGAGAGGCATCTCTGTGACTCATGTAAAGAGAGTGTTTTGCGTATTTGTTTGTCTTACTTGAAGCGTTGGGTAGCAGGTGTGCACTCCATGTTGAATTCGGCTACAGGCACTCCCCGAGATGCCACCTGAGGGGCGAACATGGCCGCTGGGTAAACTATGGAGGATGTGCCCACCTAGAGATGAGAAAACAACGTAAGAGACATGATTTACGCAAACACTGATCCAAGGTTTCTGCAGGTTTCACCAAGTTAAGACTTTCTAAGACATTTTTAAGACTATTAAGCATCAAATCTTGGACTCATAAAGGGTTAAAGGAATTTTTCAAATGGCCCAGATGGAAAAGATTTTTATTTGCCATATCAATTTTTTTTTATTATAATTTAACATATTTAATAATACAATAATAAATGAATAAAAAACAATTGATTATACTATGAAAAGATTGATAAAAAAACATTGAAGTTCTTCAAACTTGAATCGAAAATTGAAGTTGAATACAAATTAAAGTGCCTGAAGTATCCAACGCTTGTTTGAAAATCTTTGTGTTCCCTTCTTTGAAATTGTTCAGGATAGTTTGTCATTTTCATTCTACCCCACTGACTACAATCGCTTTTTTAAGATTAGCTTAATACATCAATAAATAAAGCTTTACAGGTCAGACGCACTAGTAGCACACTGAAAATATCTGCTGCTAAGGGGTTGTGCTTGATGAAAACCATAAACTACAATTAAGCACATTTTTATCCTTCAACATTTTGAACGAAATTATATATTTATCAATATATTTACATTTACCAGCCACTTTATTAGGTACACTGGTTGGACCCCCTTTTGCTTTCAGAACTGCTTTAATTCTGTGGTATAGATTCAACAAGGTACTGGAAATATTCCTCAGAGATTTTGCTCCATACTTCTTATTGCCTGGTAATTAGTTTATTTATCATGCTAAAACATCAAGATAAATGTGTCAAACTTTTGTTTAAAAGGCACTTTTGATGAAATTTAACTTTTGTAAGCTATTTGGACAGAACTGTGTGTAGGTATACTGTGTCCACTGTAATATTGGAGTGATATAAAGACAAGTCTCTTTTTAAAATGTTACTGGCATTAAAAATAAGATCCATATCCCAGTGATTTTGAGGCCCACCACACCGTGACATAAGAGTGGGGTTTTCACCCCCCAACTGAATTGATTGACAGGTGCCAAGTTTTTATAATATCGTGTATACATCAGGAAAGCATCACGTAGTTGCTGCAGATTTGTTGACTGCACATTCATGATGCGAATCTCCCATTCCACCCCATTAAAGGTGCTCTATTGGATTGAGATCTGGTGACATGGTGTGCTATCCTGCTGGAAGTAGCCATCAGAAGATAAAGTTCATAAAGGGATGAACATGGTCAGCTATAATCACATGGTCTAGATATAAACCCTAGTGATGGTTGTGTGTGAAAATCCCAGTAGATCAGAAATACTCAGACCAGCCCGTCTGGCAAAAACAATCATGCCATGTTCACCTTTCTTCCCCATTCTGATGCTCGGATTGAACTGCAGCAAATCGTCTTAACCATGTCTATATGCCTAAATGCATTAAGTTGCTGCCATGTGATTGGCTGATTAGAAATTTTCATTGCCTCATGGACAGCATACCTAATAAAGTGGCCTGTGAGTGTATATTTATAGTTGTCATGCTTGCTGTGAACAGGCCATGAAGCACTATAGAAAGCTGAACAGGGGTGTAAGCATAACGTTTGTCCCTGACTTGATGCTTTAAAATGCTTTATTTCTTGTCAGTGAGTTCATTCGTAATCCCTCACCACTAAACAGAGATCACACTTTTCCAGCTCGCGCTCCACAGCAGTGAGAATATCTGAGTCCAGCGTTTCTCCAAACCAAACCACATGAGGCCTCAGCAATCCGTTACAGCTCTTCCTTTCGCACCTACAAACAGTACAAAAAAACCATAACATACTTTACATGAAATATCAGACATGTGGACATCTGCTGCCCACTGCTGGAGAAAAGCTGCTACTGTTCTTATGATTTTATTTATCTTGGATTTATAACTTCAAAAAAAAAGAAAAGAAAGAAAAACTAATTAAATAAATGGACAAACAATTAAGATTGAACACTCGATTTTTCCAGCTTTTGTCCAGATATTTTTATTTTCTTTGAAGAATGATTAATTACTTTCAAATAAAGCTATTCAATACACAATAATTCAATTTCTGTAGTGATGTTTATTATTATTAATATTTCCTCCTGATGTACAGCTATAATGTTTTTATAATGTCACCAGGGCAGTCCTAATTTCTCATAGCATGGCAAAATTAAACAGACTTACAGTGTGTTTACAGTAAAGGAAGGCTGAGGACTGCATTCCAGAAGCATCTGATTAGATTTGGTGCTTCACAAAACATAACTCCTGCTTTTATGTTCATCATTGCTGATGTTCTTGAGAGTTGTTAGTCTAAAGTCATCTTTGCACAGTCGATTTAAGGCGGCCCTAATGTGGATCTGTGCCTGCACGGAATTCAGTGACGCTATGCTGCATTAAATGGTTCAAGGCTGATTCTTGCACTCGTGATTCTTTTTCGCAATTAAGATTCAAATTTTTGACACAAGGTTTGGTTTTAGTGACACTTTGCTGTGTACATATAAGAGTTACTGTGACTCTGCAAAACAAAGTAATGTCTTATAGAATGCACATTACTGGATTTTTTTATAATTTATTTTTGTTTGTTTTGATACAGATTGAATTGTTGTGTATTAAATAGCTCTGTTTGAAAATAATTATTCATTCTTTAGTATGAGAGGTTTCATTGCGGTCTTCATCTGCAAAGAAAATAAAAGTATTTGGACAAAAGTTGGAAAAATGTAGTTTATTCTAAGATTTTATTCAATTTTTTTTTTTCATTTTGTTGAACTAAAAATAAAGATAAAAAAATTGAATAAAAATATCTAATAACACTTTTTAATACATGAAATGCATGTAAATTTCTTATTTTAATTACATTTTTAATTCATGTTTAAAATTTGATTTCAGTCTCCTTCAAGTTGTTTAATTTAGTATATTTTTTAGTAATTATTATTTGCAAAATTCACTATGCAATGTGACATACACCCATGTTAATACAATATTTATTTTATTTTTGATATATACAGTTATACAGTTGCCTCACAGCAAGAAGGTTGCTGGTTCGAGCCTCTGCTGTGTCAGTTGGCATTTCTGTGTGGAGTTTGCATGTTCTCCCCATATTTGCGTGGGTTTCCTCCGGGTGCTCCGGTTTTCCCCACAAGTCCAAAGACGTGTATGTGTGTAAATAAGTGTGTATGGATGTTTCCCAGAGATGGGTTGCAGCTGGAAGAGCATCTGCTTTGTAAAACTTATGCTGAATAAATTGGTGGTTCATTCCACTGTGGCGACCCTAGATTAATAAAGGGACTAAGCCGAAAGGAAAATGAATGAATGAATATTGTGCAGCCTTATTTTTCAGCCTCATATAATCCTTCAGATTTTCAATGCTGATTTTATTTGAACTTAGTCTTTATTGATTAATTTTTTAATCAATTTATTGCAGGCAGAGTGAATATAAGTATTATTTTCTTCTATAACAAAAGAAAAAAGAAACATCCTTTTAAATTGAAAAGCAGAATTGCATGCAAAAGAAATAGCAGATTCTAATTTGACTTAAATTTTTTGATCAACGTCTTTAAAAAAAGACCAGGCAAACCTAGGCAGCAGCTCGACTGGAATTCTGGCTTCCTTAGTATTCGGGTCGGGTGCTCTGAAAAGTAAAAAAAAGGAAATAAGAGAGTGCAGTTTCTTAAAAATTTGATGAAATAATGTTGATTTGTTTGCATGAGCTTTTACCCTTTTCCATCCAGAGCAGGACAAATTGGGCTCTTGTGGTTTGCTTTGACTTCTCCACAGCTCATACAGCGGGTTTTAAACAGACTACCTGGAGAGCGAAGGATGAAGTGAATAACCTTGACTAGAAACACTGTTTGCATGGACAGATAATCAATAAGTTTCAGTTCTGTTAAAGGTAGACTCCACCTCTTTTTGAAAATAGGGTCATTTTACAAGTTCCCTAGGGTTAATCAGTAGAGTTTTACCATTTCTGAATGCACTCAGTCAATCTCTAGGTCTGGTGGGAGAACTTTTAGCTTAGCAAAAATCATTGAACCAGATTCGACCGTTAGCATTTTGATAATTTTCCTATTCGCAGCTCGACTCTTCTGTAGTTACAGTACATTTTGTACTAAGACAGACAGAAATGGAAAGTTGCTATTTTCTAGGCTGATATGCTAGGAAATATACTCTCATTCTAGCCATGATCACACTAGAAAATAGCAACTTTTCATTTCTGTCTGCCTCACCACACAATGTAACAATGTACAGAAGAGTAGGGTTGCCACACGTCCCTTAAAATATGGAATAGTCCCGTATTTTGTCCAGTATTTTTATAATTCTTTAAAAGCAGCTTTTCATGCAGATCATCCCACACATTTTATGAAGATGCCTCATTTCCTACTTTTGATTGGGTAATACTTGATGTCATCGTTAGTTTGATTGGTCTTTTTAACTGTCCAGTGAGGAGGGCGGGTCTTTTAAGCAGAGTCTGTCAAGTCTTGACAAAAAGTAATGGCAGGGGCTTCTCCTGGTAACCCTCAGCATCTTAAAGTTTCAGAGTTTTAACGCAAGCGACTGAAAAAATACTGCAGAGAGTGGGACGAAATAAATACCTGCTGCAGAGTGTTAGAAATTATTATTAAGCCAATTGCATGATTTGTCGGAGAGCATTCTTTGTGGCTCATGGTGGTCTGTGGTACAACATGCCTCTGGAGAGCAGCATTCCCGCAATGACAGAGCTTGCAAAAATCAAAGCAGTCAGAGTTCTTCGTACCCCAAGTCTCTCTCGAAGCAGACATGTGACAGTGTAATCATTATCAACAATATTTAGGTTAAATACTTAATAATATTAAAAATGTGACCCAGTCTGTCAAAATCTAGCTGTATTGTTTTTTTGTAATTTACTGTTTTCTAAATGAAATAAGGAACAGTCTGTGAAAATACTACCAATATATGTATTTAATATTAACTGAGTAAAACAGTGTCAACAATCTCAGAATTAGATTTGGCCTGGTTTGCACACACTGGGTCACAAATTGTAATTTGTGAAAATTCTGTGAATATAATGTAAGTGGATCACATTCCAATGAAATATTATGATTTGTTTTTTAAGGTTAAGTCAGGCACATTAGCATTAATTTAATACTTCAAACATTTTATTTAATACATTACCAAACAACATAATGCTAATGCAAAGAAAAGAAACTAGTAAATGGCAACTTTCCAGATTATAAAATTGGAAATAGGCTATTTGAAAACTTTACTACTGTAAAAAAAATCCTGGTTGCCTTATTTTTTTTAAGCTGAATCAAATTAATCATGAGTTCATTGAACTTATATTAAACTGACTTAAAACAGCTTGCATAACTTATAAAATTAAGATAGAACATGATTAACTTATTTCAGTAAGTTAAAATGACCTAAAAACATATGCTGTCCAGTATTGCCAAATTAACGACTTTGTCGCTAGATTTAGCGATTTTTCAGACCCCGCCCCTAGCGACAAATTTTCAAAAAAGCGACTAGCGACAAATCTAGCGACTTTTTTGTGTTACTGGAGATTTTTATAGACTGTCGTTTGTCCATACTATACCGTCCCTACTCTTCTGAACGAGCTGCGAGTGATGCCGCCAGCCCCTCCCCCACCTCAGAGCAGACAGGCGTCCCAGTCCTCATACAGCAGCCTCTCCTACCTGCAGCCCGAGAGCAATCACCTCTTTACGTACTGACGGCAAATTATTTAGCACCGGCACCGTGAAGGTATTTCCCTTGTACAGTCAAACTGATTTACTTCTCCTTTATTTTTTAACAATTTAATTTCACCTTTTATTCTTTTCTTGTTAACAATTACAGATATTTTAAGTAAGAGTTTCAGAACTTGTCGGAGTTTATTACGTCTGAGAGCTGCAAATTCACAACACATCTATACTGATATACTGTACTCAGACAGCAATTAATTTAGTTACATTTACATGTATATACTGTATAAAGTGTAGTGCAAATATAAATACCTCTTTATTAACCATAGGCTCAGGATGTTAAACAAACAGAAACGGTAGAACGTGATGACGTCAGTAACATGCAAATTAACATATGACAAAATCTAGCGACTTTTAGAGACTTTTCGGGCAGAGCTTATCGCCTTTTCGTTGAAAATAGTTGGCAACAGTGATGCTGTCAGGACTAATTGATCATATCATTTTTTACAGAGTAGCTAATGTTTGTATCTAGTTTATGTATGTGCTGTTTCCATGTTTGGATAGTTGTTACTGCAAATAATGACAAATATTTTAGCCAAAATCTTTTATCAATACTAGCCTTTAAAATTAGGTTCATTAGTATTTTCTCCTCACCTCTAGGCTACAGCAGCTGAGTTAATGTCAGCTATATAAGTACTGCAGAGTTGTAAAAGAGAAAGACTGACTGCATCTATTTACACAGATTTCAATAAAAGTTTATTTTAATGTCCAAGGGCCCTATCATACGCGCGGCGCAGTGTGGCGCAAGGCGCAGCGCAGTACTCTTTTGATAGTTTCAGCTTGGCGCAAGAGTCGTTTTGAGGCGTTACACTACGCTGTTTAAATAGCAAATGCATTTGCGCTCATTTGTGCGTCCATAGGCGTTCTGGTCTTAAAAGGGAGGCGTTCTGAGGCGGACCGCTGGCGCGTTGCTATTTTGAGAAACTATAATAGATTTTTCAATAGACCAAAACTAACCCGGTCTAAACTCCGGCGCAGAGTTGCGCATCGCTTACACACTGCTTAATACGCACAAGAGAGCAATAGGCAAATATCTTTACATATGAAAAAAATTAAATATTAAGGATATATATAGGATATAATAAGAATAGATATAGGATATAAATATAAAGGATTAAAATATTACAAAACATATTATTTTCTAGCCTACATAAATATGAAAAATTACTGCTTTTATGTCTTCTTCATCTCGGGAGGCTTTTTCAGTTCATTCATAACAATTTGCTTTAGTATAATGTTATTATTATTAGCAGTGTTATTTATTATATCCATATTTATATTTGTTTTATTAAAAACAAGCTTAGATTTCCCCACCTGTCAGGTTTTAGACCATATGGGGCATGGCAGGTGTATTTGGAAATAACTCATTATTTTGACCACACTTGGTCATTATTATTCATTTATTCGTTTGCTAGAAATTAGAACTGAATTTAGAAATAGTTTTAAAACAAATTTTTGCGCTTAACAAACAAAATTATTTATTTATAGGCTAATTGATGTCTGTGCGTAAAGGTTTCCCTATATAAGAGCGAAAGTGAAAGTGATCCATTATCTCTCATTCTCACGCAGTAGATGCTCTGTTTAACAGTTTTCTGTTAAAAAACTGTTAACTGTTTGCTTGTGAAATGCTCATTTTTTTCCACTTAGACTTACTTGCGTCCTGTAAATAGCGAATGTGCTCTTTGCGCGACGCAGCTGGCTCTTAAAGGTAATGGGAGATGAGACTCTAATTGGTTTATTTTCAAAACACACCTATAACTCATTAAGAAAATAAACTCAACCCTTTTAGACCATGCGCCTTGTCGCAAAGCGCATTTTCCCATCCGTAAATTAGCAAAAATGCGTTCTGACACACCCTGAAAGCATTTGCGACCAGTGTTTTGCGATCTGCGCATGGACCGTCAAAATAGAGCCCCAAGTGTTCATACTTTCCTGAAAACATATTTCAAGTTGCGATTTACCACCACTGGCATGCTATTGGGCCTGTGATCACTGTGGTCTATGCCCCCAAAGGATATGGAACCCGCTGCAGTATGCGTCCCTTATTTTTTTGTATCAAAAGTGGCAACCCTACAGAAAAGTCAATCTTTAAATGGAAAAATGATCAATTATCAATTGAAAAAAACTCTGTTCATTTTTGAGCAAGATGCTAGTGGTCTAATCTGATTCAATGATCTATGCTAAGCTAAGCTAAAGTGCTCCTGCCAGAGCTAAAGATCGGCTGAATTCATTAAAACGGTTAAGCTAAACTGTTTAAATCTAGGGGATTTGTAAAATGACTCTATTTTAAAAATATTTCCAATATTTTTTTATTTCCAATAATGAATATACTAAGATGGTCCAGTCCTGGTTTGAGTTGCTGTAGTCTCACCGTGGATCTCATAGACATGTTTAGACCCAGCCCGATGGTGCAGTTCATCAATGTTTTGGGTGATGATCACCACAGAGCGCCCCTGCTGGCCGAGACGAGCCTCACACTCTGCTATAGCCAGATGTGCTGGATTCGGCATCTTACTGCGCATTACCTGCATGTTCAATTAAATGAAGACATAGTTCAACCTGAAATTAAAACTAACTTCCCAATTACCCACCCTCAAGTTTGTCCAAACTTGAACGATTTTATATTTTCTGCTGAACATAAAGGTAGCTATTATGAAGAGTGATGGTGATGAGCAAAAATGATTTGTTTTTTTAATTAAAATTAACACATACATGCTTGGAACAAGTGTGAGTTATGACAGAATTAAACTTTGTGGGTGAACTATTCCTTTAAGATCTTAGTAGGATGCAACTTATCACTTGTATTTAATAATAATTATTGATAATAATCATTATTATAATATGTTTGACTGATGTTTGTGTGCTCATACAAAGACTTTTAAAGGGATAGTTCAACCAAAAATTAAAATTCTGCTATCATATTTTCACCCTTTAATTGTTCCAAACCAAAATGAGTGTCTATCTTCAGTTCAACACAAAAGAAGATATTTTGAAGAATGCTGGAAACCTGTAACCATCGACTTCCATAGTATTTGTTTGATCTGCAATGAAAGTCAATGGTTACAGGTTAATAAAGTGACTAAGCTAAAAAGAAAATGAATGAAGGTAAATATTAATGCCCCTAGTCATCATTTCCAGGTTGCAGATATCATCCCTGAGCCATAATAATAGCAGTTGTAGCTGAAACAACAAGCATTTAAACGTAATGCAGAAGAATACAGAAATGTGATGGTAAAGAGGTAATTCACCCAACAATATTCTCACTCTTTTTTTTTACTATTCCTCAAGTGGTTTAAAGCCTTTATGAGTTACTTTCTGAAAGAAATATCCATGTAGTCACTCTTCAAATATTCTGTTTTTCTTACTGTGTCTTATCTTTTTGTAAGTTGTCCCTGTACTAGACGCCTTGACATTCTTGAGCACTGGATAAAATTGTTCTGCTTAACTGAGCTGAATATTTGCACGTATTCACAGCCCATGTAACCTTGAGTATGATGTATAAAAGCTAAGAATACCCCAGTCTTCTTCAGAAGAGAGCAATAAACTGTTTGATTTACATCTCAGTTTTTGTTGCCTTCCTGGAACTCCAGCTTACTGAGGAAACACACAGACGATCTGCAATTTATCCCAACACTTTCTTCAGTTGAACGCAAAAGAAGATATTTTGAAGAATGCTGGAAACCTGTAACCATCGACTTTCATAGTGTTTGTTTGATCTACAATAAAAGTCAATGGTTACAGGTTTTCACCTTTCTTCGACAAATTTCCTTTTGCGTTCAACAAAAGAAAGTAACTCATAGGCTTTAAACCACTTGAATTGTATAAAAATAAAAAATAAAAAAAAAAGAGTGAGAATTTTTTGGGTGAACTACCCCTTAACCATCACATTTCTGTATCTTTCTGTATTACATTTAAATGCTTGTTGTTTCAGCTACAACTGCTATTATTATGGCTTAGGGATGATGTCTGCAACCTGGAAATGATGACTAGGGGCATTATTATTTACCTTCATTCATTTTCTTTTCGGCCTAGTCCCTTTATTAACCTGAGGTCACAACAGCGGAATGAACCTCCAACTTATCCAGCATATGTTTTACGCAGCGGATGCATTTCCAGCTGCAACTCATCACTGGGAAACATCCACACACTCACATTCACACACATACACCACAGAGAATTAGCTGACACAATTCCCCTATAGACCATTTTGAGGGATGTAAACAATACCAAAGGTCCTAATGTATTTCCTGTATTACATTTTGAATTTCCATAGCTTTCAATAATCCAGAAAACTCCACACATTGATAAATAATGTTATGGCAGCCATTTTATCATTAAGATATGATAAATTTGCCTCTTGTTAAAGTTCTGAAATAGTTTGGTGACAAGCAGGAAGCGTTCATGGGCTAGTGCAGTCGCCACATTGAAATAATTCATAACACATGTCTTTTGACTGCGGAAGCAGAGCACCCGGAGGAAACCCACGCCAACATGGGGAGAACATGCAAACTCCACACAGAAATGCCAACTGACCAGGCCGAGGCTTGAACCAGCGACCTTCTTGCTGTGAGGTGACCGTGTTACCCAGTGCGCTACCATGGCGCCCCATTATTTACCTTTAAATAATTTTATTATTAATCTGTCATATAATCTCGAAAAAAAACTACATTTACCAATGACTTTAATCAATCAGCAAACTATAAACTATACATTTGTTAACCGTTTAAAAAAAAATCTGTTAATTATTTGCCTGTAACTTGTGATTTATGGGTGTTTTTCTTTTTATTTTTGCTTTAGCATTGCATTACGAGACCTGTATTTTTGGGGGCTGTTAAATAAAATGACTCTACCCCCTTGTGGATGCTGTGCTTATTTCAGACCCATAAATAAACACAGACATTTCTGGATCTTGTACATTCTTCACTGCAATTATGCAAAACATGACGAATAAAAAATGTGTTAATTAACAAAATGTAGATTTATCTATTTTACTGTTTTTTTTAATGGGCCATCTGCTGTAACATTTATACATTTGTAACATATTATATGATGCTGGTAGGCATTTAGTCAGTAATAAGTGACCCACCTCACGCCTGTAATGGTAAAACTCCCATACTAAAGAAGGATCTCGAGAAAAAGCTTCAGGTGTTGCTAAATCCTGAAAGACAAAGAGACAGAAAAAGTAACAACTGCATGAACTTGCTGTTAATTAATCCATATCCTTTTAAATAAAACAAACAAACAAAAAAAAAACAGTTACACATCCCACGACACACACAAGTATATATATATATATATATATATATATATATATATATATATATATATATATATATATATATATATATATATATATATATATATATATATTAATGTCACTTTAAGCTTTATAGAAGTGTCTTGAAAAATATGTGGTCGAATATTATTTACTGTCATCATGGCAAAGATAAAATAAATCAGTTATTAAAAATGAGTTATTAAAACTAATGAGATTAGAAATGTGTTGAAAAAAAATCTGCTTACTGTTAAACAGAAATTAAAGAAAAAATAAAGAGGGGGAAAAATTATTTAGGGGGCTAATAATTCTGACTTCAACTGTATATACGTATGTAGGTACACTGATCCACCCCCTCCCCCCGTTTTTTTTTTTTTGTTTGTTTGTTTGTTTTGTTATGTTATATTGTGTTATGTTTTTTGCATGTTGTGTAATTTGTTTTGTTTTGTCTTCTGATAGTATTATTATGTGAGGGTGATTAATTGTGACCCCCTTGAAAATGAGATGGTACTTCTCAAGGGGTTTATCCAAATGAATAAATGAATTCATTTCATTTAATATTTGACACCAAAAGAGACAGTTATGGTGACATGGTGGCTCAGTGGGTAGCACTGTCGCCTTACAGCAAGAAGGTTGCTGGTTCGAGCCCAGGCTGGGTCAGTTGGCATTTCTGCGTGAAGTTTGCATGTTCTCTCTGTGTTGGCCTGGGTTTCCTCCGGGTGCTCTAGTTTCCCCTGCAGTCAAAAGACATGCAGTATAGGTGAATTGAATAAGCTAAATTGGCCATAGTGTATGTGTGTGAATAAGTGTGTATGAATATTTCCTAGTACTGGGTTGCAGCTGGAAGGGCATCTGTGTAAAACCCCACTGTGGTGACCCCTGATGAATAAAGGGAATAAGCCAAAGGAAATTGAATGAGACATTTCTGAAAACATTATGTACATGTGTATTTTACCTGCGCCTGCCATTTCCTCCAGAAGCCCCCCGGTCCTCTAAAGGTTGGTACGCCACTCTCTGCACTCACTCCAGCCCCCGTAATGATAGCAATGTGCTTCGCTTTAGCAAAGTGCTCACGAAATGCTGTTAAATCTGCAAAGGAAATATAAATGTGACTTAGCAAAAATATCAGTGGATAATATAAATAATTATAATATTTTTATTTTCTTTTTTTAAAGATTTATTTTTGGCCTTTTTTAGATAGGACAGTTATTGAGACAGAAAGCGAAGTGGGAGAGAGAAAGGGGGTAGGGTAGGGAAATGTCGTCGAGCCGGGATTCGAACTCACGACGCCCTGACATGCTATTGCACCATATGTCAGCGCGCTAACCACTAGGCTATTGCGCCAACATATTTTTATTTTCTTCAAGTTGAAAGGCAGATTATACCCCCAGAGTAAAAGCTGTAGAAATTAGAGAGTTAATTGTCCATTTAAACTAGTTTTTTATTGGTCAAACATGAACATCAAACCACCAATAATTTTTCCATTTACTGTACATAACAAAGACATTTGTGTTCTTCACAACTCAAGCACTCACACAAAGGGATAAACAGTCCATGTGGCGCAAATGATGTATAAACAGGGAAAGGAAAAATACATTGAAATGTATTTTAAAATAAATTATCAAACAGATCCATTTCAATTGTATCAAAATAAACTACAAATTACAGCAGCCATAAATGTATCAAAATAAAATACTGTATTTTTGTGTGCTTGTGATTTATTTGTTATTAATTATTTCAGACTCACTCCCCAACAAAATCCCCCCAATCAATCCAAATAAGCGTGTTAAATCATCTGGTATATACATCAAAGAAATACAAAATAATGTCTGATTTTTTCAATATCGAGCAGCCTAAATTTAAGTACAGATATTTGTTAAACTAATTTCCATGACTTTTTCCTAAAATTTGGGGGTTTTTCCAAAACTTTTCAGCCCTGAAAAATGCCATGTCAAAATTCCATGACGTTTCCAGGTTTTCCATGACCGTATGAGCCCTGTGGTTTTGTGGTCTACAGTCACAGATACATTATTTTAATTCAAATGTGTCCATGTCGTAAGACCCGATCAGTTTACACTATTTTCAACAACCTCGAGGAGTGATAACGGTGTTAAGTGTGCTGGTGTCTCACCCGAGCTTGGTCTGGTCATCTTTGGAGATCTCCAGTTGAGTCTGACTGCCGCACACAGGTGAGACGTCGAACCTCTACTACACCACAACTGGCGCACAATCATTGAAAGAAAAGGTCACGCTGCACAGCTAGAAAATCAGAAAAGTATAATCAACCCACAATGCAGTGTACTCACCTGAAAACATGCACAGAAAGAAGAGAGTGAAATAAAACACTTCCTGATTCTGTTCCTTTATTAGAAAAGGAGGGCTGTCCAGGAAGTAGTTTTTCATGTTGGGAAATTGTTGAATTATTTCCTGCTTCCATTTATAGTCTCACAATAGACACAAGAATGTGTCAGAAATGACAAAGATTAAATTGTCAAAGATTAAAAAGTGAAATTAACAAGTGGTTATTAGTAATTCTACTAGTAGTGTTGTAGATAAATGAAAATATAACAGAATATAGCAAAAGTAGATTTTTTACAAATATATATATATATATATATATACATACATACATTATATTACAAATAATGTATATATACATACATTAGCAAACTGTCATTGTAAGAAGAGAAATCTATTAGATTTGATTGAGAAAAACAATTGAACAAAATTCTCATACTTGTAAAAAACAATAAGGTGAGAAATGACATAATTCATTCTGTGTGAATAAAAAATGTCATATATTATTAACAGTGGTGTAAAGTAACTAATTACAAATACTGTAATAACTGTAATTGAGTAGTTTTTCTCAGAAATTGTAATTTACTAAGTAGTTTTAAAATGTGTACTTTTTCTTTCATACATTTAGTGCTGTATTGTTACATTTACTCAACTACTTCCTTTCCTGTCCTGTCCAATCAAACCGCACGTAGAAGATAAATCACACCATAATGAACTACCTTAAGACATGAGTGATTTATAATTGAAGCATTAAAATTGTCCAAGAAGATGTCCAAAATTTTTACACGCATTGACCCAAAGACTGTTTAGATGCATGTCACTGATAAGAAGATGACGGATGTTTACTGTCTGATGACCGAAATGGCCTTAAACACCCAGCAGGCACAAGACGTCAACATGAAGTCAGATTGACGTTGTACCCCAATGTCGTGGGGACGTGGCATTTTTTTTGGAAATGAAAATCGAGTTGATGTCAAAACTCAATGTCAGGCCAACAACTGTCTAATGTCCAACCTAAAATCAACCAAACAACATCTAATGATGTTGCAGCTTGGCGTTTTGTGGATGTTACCAATATGACGTCTATCAGATGTTGGATTTTGGTTGCCATACCTGATGAATAAATGTCAGTATTTGACATGAATATGACGTTGGTTTAAGATGTTGGCTCAACATTGGATTTTGGTCACTTTCTAACAACATAAAATCAAGAAAATATTAACGTCATTTGACGTCATTATTGGACATCAAAATAACTTTGTCCTTAGACGCTGGCTAAACAGTGAATTTTGGTCACCTGACATCACAACCCAATTCTAACCTAATGTTAACATCTTATGACGTTGTGTGCCTGCTGGGCATAACTAAATGCACTACAGAATGTTACGTTTACACACATTCACAAATTACAAGTAAATGCATCAGCTTTTAACAGTGTAATAATCACCACTCTTAAGTACTTTTGAAAGAGCTACTTTTTACTCATACTTTGAGTAATATTTACAACAGATACTTTTACTCTTGCACTACATTTTTACGCACTGAATGGTACTTTTACTTGTATGATTTTACACCACTGATTATTAATTATTTATGAAGTTATAATTAATAAGAAGTGACTTTGGTATTGTGTTACCCCTCAACAGGCATACTTTCTATATAGCACTGTTTTATTCAACTTTTTTATTCAACATAGCAGGAACAGCCCCTTTGCATGCCATGAGGCACTACTGAGGGATCACAGGAACATAAAAACATGACAAACCTGGGTAACGTTAGTCCAATAAATAATACTTTAATAAACATAAGTTTACCTTGTAAAATCAACCAGAGTTCCAGAATAGCTAGCCTGGCAGGTTTAGCAACACAGCTGCAACACTGCCATCAAATAAATAAATAAATAAATAAAGCTACTTATTTGTAGTTTTGGTAAAAATATTACAGGCTAAAAACTGACAACAATGCAATGCGGAGTGTGCAAAACATGCAGATGCTATGCAACATAAACACACACAGCTCTCGTCCAGTGTAGGTAGAGAAGGGAACGTTTACCTGTGTGTTGTGCTGTTGACTCGTCAGATGGATTGTCCAGCAGAGAAGATGATAAAAACTGTGTTTATTTCATCCACTCAGTTGCTGTCATCGTGAGCCCATGGAAGACGTGTGCGCTGCCATCGGCTTTAACACAAAATTGTACGCACAACACGAACCACGAGACGACAAATGATACAATTAACTTGCACTTTTTGTTACCGCGGAGGGGCGTTTGGTGGCCCAGAAAGACAACACGTCCATTGAGTCACGCTCAAATCTACACACGTTTTTCAAGATATCGACAAAATGTGTACTTTAAAAAGTATAAAGGTTTAAACGTGTTTAAAATTACTGGTATTTCATAACCCAACAGAAAAATGCACCACAGTAATTTTCTATAAAATAGCCATGGAAATGAGTTACCGGTGATTGCATTCGATTATAATTGGGTCATCCTGAACTGCGCTGAGAAAAGTAACAGGCACCACGTGGCACCACGTTTGAATGAACCGCTTCAGAAGCCGTTCTGGCTATATTTTACACCTGAATAATGACAATGCGAAATTTTTATCAGTATTAAATTTATATTATAGAGTGGAGATTTAACATATTAAAATAATATTTAGGATGCATCGTACTTGACCAATAAGATAAAGCGACCGGGCAGCCTTATCCCGCCCATTAAATACTTTAACAATTTTTGAGAAGAACTCGCCTGTAGTGTGACGACCTTATTAACGTGAGAGCGACCTCCAGTGTGGAGTAGATATTACTGCGATACATATTTTAAAAACTATATAAAGATTGTGACTTTATTGTAAAGTAGATAAAGTGATTAGTCCACTTTTAGTTATGTACAAATAATTGTATAATTTTTTCTAAACATGTTTATATAGTTCATATATTTTAAATATTGTAATTAATTCTAGAAATTCATTCATTCATTCATTTTCTTTTTGGCTTAGTCCCTTTATTAATCTGGGGTCGCCACAGCAGAATAAACCGCCAACTTATCCAGCATATGCTTTACGCAGCGGATGCCCTTCCAGCTGCAACCCATCACTGGGAAACATCCACACACTCATTCACACTCAAACACAACGGACAATTTTAGCTTACCCAATTCACCTGTACCGCATGTCTTTGGACTTGTGGGGGAAACCGGAGCACCTGGAGGAAACCCACGCCAACATGGGGAGAACATGCAAACTCCATGCAGAAACACCAACTGACCCAGCCGAGACTTGAACCAGCGACCTTCTTGTTGTGAGGCGATTGTGCTACACATTGCGCCACTGTGAGGCCCCCCATTACAGTAATAATATTAAAAAATTGAATGTAATACAGTACATTATATTAATGTATAATAACAATAATAATAATAATCACCATCATTATAAAAATTATAATAATGACGTAAAATTAATTACGTATTTACAATATTCTAACACACACACATAATTTTCATTTTACTCATGTGCTTTATTTTCCTGTGCTTTTTACAGTTATGCCTGTCTGGATAGTTTATTGCTGACATGCAAGCTTTGAGTTGAGAACTGCCAGCTGTTTCAAGAAGCCCAAGTTGGGCCAGATGCATCTCACTTTTAAAACGTGGCCCATGGCATCTTCCACTGACATTTTACGGTGAATCATCAGATACGCCAAAAATAGTGTGGGAGATCGACTTACTCCATCCGAGCAGTGCACCAACATCTTATCTGAGAAGATAGAAGCACAAAAACACTCAAAGCAAACTCATTCTAATACAGTTGGTCAAAATACAACACCTGTCATTGAGAAGTGCTGTTGTGTGAGTCTCAGCTTACTTTCAGGCTCACTGAGGGCCTGGTGGATGAATGCTGCAGAGGGGTAAAAGTACTTGCTGATGTCAAACAAGGGGTCATCTACTACAGGTACACCGTAGTACGTGATGTTCATGCCTTTGTAATATTGCGCCCCAGTTTTGACCTTACGTAGCAGATCTTCCTTGCGTGGCATTCCCAAAGACGCCATTAAATTGTGTTTAATAGCTGCAGCATTCAGGATGTGTGTAATGCCCCTCTGCTTCAGTTTGGCTCGGTCCATTGCTGTATGTCTGCTCAAAAACACAATAGTTGTAGTTAGTTGTTTAGGTATTTAGTCATTTATCACAAGGATTGGTTTAATTTGGAATGTTTTGTTATTCTTTAGGATCTGATTCCTTTAAAAAATATATATATATATTTTTTTTTTACATTTTTTTAAACCCTGAGAGTAATAAATAAGCTATAAAAACAACCTCAATCAAGCACATAGTTTTTGCATGACATGACATGACATAACATATATCTAAAATTCACAAATGTACACCTTCCAGGAGAAGGCGGGGCTTATCAGATCACCTAGACAACCACTGACCTAAGCCAAAGACTATAGACCTTTTTCTTGGAACACAAAATTACCCATTATGCTTTGCGTGTATGTGCAAGGAGAATGCGAAAAACTTCCGGTCGGCAGCTGATGCGTGTTAACAGTCACATTTGGACAGCTTAGAAACGATAGTTTTAATCTATTTTACCTGCTTTTATCCTCTTTGAACTAATACGGTTGTCCATCATCTCCTGGAGTGATCATTTAAAGTAATGCGATCTAATAGGATGGAAAACAGCTGCTGTGAGGCATTTTCCCCTCGTTGTCAGACGGCATCTTCTGCAGTTTACATGAAGCCTTGTCATCGCTAAAGTCAACATTTTCTCTTTATTTCAAATATATAACCAGCCCAAACAAATGTAGTTCACCAAAATGTTTGACACACACACGTAGCCTGTACTGTGCCACTGACACACTGATTTAATAACTGTGACAAAGTGAAAATATAGGCTAGTGTCATTTCGAAATGACAGAAAAACACAAACCGTGGTAAAAACAACACATGAAATAAAACACAAACGGCTCGCGATTAGAATGAACAGCAAATCAGCCAGCAGAGTATCAATAACAGACTTTTATTGGTCATTTTTGTAAACTGCACGACTTTCATACCTGTTAAGTTTCATGCCAGTACTCTAGTTTGCTCTCTCTCTCTCTCTGTGTGTGTTAAAGAGCCGCTGAGCTAACACTGTATTTTTGACGGCAGACAAGTGAACTAGGAGAACGTTTTTCTCGTATTTCTGACGCGCTTGAACCACATGTGACAGATTATAACAGTTTTAACAGACACATTTATAAGTTGCGTGTCACATAAACACTCTGTTATCCATTAAAAACGTCATTGAAACCCATTTTCGGAGCGCAAATTACCAGTTGTACACGCTGTAAACGGAAGTTTTTAGCATTCTACCGGAAGACGCTGGTCCCTATGGCGTCCTCCATGCAGCAGCCATGAAAAAGGTCTATAGAATACACAAGACATGCCTCTCAGACAGTTTGGCAAGTGAAGCACCGCCTACAATTACAGGAGCCAATCATTGGGTTTCTCAGCAGCGGATGTCTGCATTGTTATAGTCATAGTAGGGAGGGAGGGTCCCACTTTATATTGTAGCCTTAAGTATATGTACTTACACAGGATTTAATAGTTTGTTACAATGTACTTATTGTGTAAATACATGTATTTACTGTGTACTTATGCTTGATTAAAAACGTAATTACATCAGTAAATAACTTTTGTAATTACATTTGTAAATACACTGTTGACCATCCCTGACACCTTAACCAACCCTTAAACCCACCCATGCCACAAAACCTGTCCATAACCCAACCTCTATCCCAACTCAAAAGCACCACAAGTGTTCTCAAGTACATTATAAACACAGTAAGTGAATTGTATTTATTTTTTGATGTAAGTACATAGTAGTTAAGGACACTTAATATAAAGTGGGACCGGAGGGAGTACTACAAATACATTTATTACAATTTGCTCAAGTAATACAAGAAAAACTCCACGATAGTGTTTTCATGACTTTCACAAAACAGGATAAAAAAAATTGTGTGAGACTGATAACATTAGCCAGAAGAGAGAACAACGTCAAATGTACTGTCCTGCCTATAGACACGGCATTAGAAACATAACCTGCATAAGTGGTCATTAGTTTCCTTGTAATTTGAAACAAAAATTATATAATACACAGTAAAGCTTTATTTTATTTTTTATCAAGATGTTAAAAACTTTCAAGGACTGGTGTCTGTTAAACAAGTCATCATTATCTTGTGAAAAGGATCCATGAGCCGGCATTTTAAGCAAGCAACAGTCAATTGATAACAATTAGTTATTTTAAACTGAAAAAGGCTTAAGTTGTTATAGACTCACTCATCTCCAATGACGACATTGGGCCAAACCTCAGTGGCAGATGTCTGGTCCAGTGTGCATTTCTGGAGACAATGTTTCAGATGGATAACGGTTTCCTCGATACGCTGTTTTGACTCTTGAGGCTCTGGAATGGGCTTCTCTGTGTCTTCGTTGCCTCTTTTCAACTGCTCTCTCAGCTGTAGCTTTCGCTTCTCTACGAGGGTCGAATTGAGAGCTGTCAGCTGCTTTAAGAAGCCCATGTTGGGACTGATCCATCGCACACCTGTGACATGGTCAATGGCGTTCTCCACCATTATGTCATGTTGGATCATCAGATATGCCAAAAAAAGTGTTGCAGAGCGGCTGACACCTTGAACGCAGTGGACTAACACCTTATCTGAGGAAATGAAAACAGATCGACGCGTCAAATCTAACAATTCATAGCATTCCGCTATTTGCTTGACAACGTGAACACTATCAGTACTCAGTATAGGTTATATTATACTACAATAGACCAGTTTACTGTAGTAAAAACTAAAGAATACTGCAATATTTATCACAGTTTATCAGTTTACCATAGTTAATTTAAAAGTATACTGCAACATTCAATAACAAATGCTAACTACTACAATACAAATACTATATGTACAGCATAATACATTTTACTGTAGTATGGTTTGAAAACACAATAGTATTTAAAATAAATGTTCTGTCTTAATAGATCATAAATAATTGTGTGTGTGTAGGTCTATGTGGTTGACAAGGACACAAAGTTGTATAATGACATAGGAATGACTTAGTGTGCTAAATTAAACACACACCTCATGTCCCTGTAATTTAAAAAAAAACTTAAAATTATACTTAACGGGGTCTTTTGTAATTAAAAATTTGCCACAGGTTTCCTGTGAGGGTTGGCTTTAGGGGTAGGGCACATCACCCCCTAAACTATGGGTCACCAATCTCGTTCCTGGAGGGCCGGTGTCCCTGCTGGGTTTAGCACCAACTTGCCTCAACACACCTGCCTGGATGTTTCAAGTATACCTAGTAAGACCTTGATTAGCTTGTTCAGGTGTGTTTGATTAGGGTTGGAGCTAAAATCAACAGGACACCGGCCCAACAGGAACAAGTTTGGTGACCACTGCCCTATACACATCATGCCTATGAAGTGTCTGTGTATACCATGTTCAATTTATGTGTCTGTGCGTGTGTATCAGCTCTTACTCTCCGGGTTACTCAGGGCCTTGTTGATAAATTCCGCAGCTGGGAAAAAGTATTCGCTGATATCAAACATGTCTTCATCCAGAGCAGGTACGTTGTAGTAGGTGATGTCCATGCCTTGGTAATGTAACTCCCTTGGAATGATGTTTGCATGTAGATCTACTTCGATTTCTGCAGCGTTCAGGATATGGGTAATACCCATCGTCTTCAGCATGGCTCGGTCCAACGCTGTCTCTCTGCACAAGAACACAACAACTGTGAATGGATACTTGTGTGGTAAAATAAGTGATGGATGAAGTATACAAATGGTGTACTTGAGTAAAAGTATACAGAAGATGCCCTAATGTAAATATTACTCCAGTAAAAGATCGTCTTTTCAATGTTCCTTGAGTCGAAGTACAACATTACTTATTTTTATATGTATTTAACAGTTAAAACTAAAATAAGCAGGGAAGAGCGGGGACGAAAATAAGGTGTGGTAAAAGCAATTTTCTCAAAGTTCTGACAACATTTGCTTTCCAGGCTATAACAGCACATTCAGCATGCAACCCTTGATGGCGCTACCAAATATCATGTGATTACAGGACCCACAGTTAGTGTAACGAAGGGGCTGACACAGAGGGATCCATTTGCAGTAAATTTATTAAATATAGTTTAATAAGCACAAGCACACAGATGTAATGCGTGTCCGAACTCACATCAAACACAATAGTGTAACGATGATCAACGGCAAGTAATCACAGTATGAATGTTCAGGCATGGGTCTGAGGCAGGCAGCGAATTTCTAGGTCGGTGTCCAGGCTAGAGTTCAAGGCAGGCGGCTAGGATCAAAGTCGGTAATCGGGCTGAAGTACAAGGCAGGCAGCTGGTAGGACGAGGTCGAGGAACAAGGCAAGGTAAGCAAGGGAAAAGCAGGCAGTGTAGAGAACCGCTGTAGTGTGTTTGTGTGCTGCTTATTGACCTTATTCTAAAATGCGGAAGTTTTCGAGATTGTCTTAGAACTTCCGATTCAGTCGCCTATGGGAGAAATGACTAGGAATAATAAACGGCAGAAAATGGCCAAACTACTTGCTCAACAAACAAATGTTTGCATGACTACACAGACCAAGTAGCATAATATAATAAGAAAATATTAAATTGCAACATCAAGCAGCGTAACGAGCAGTTGTTAACGTCAAAAAATGAATGGAAGTGAATGTGACCGGAAGTCGCGAGACAAAATGATTCAAATGGCAGCGCCCACTCGTCAGCTGAGAATAAGGTGAATATGCTGGAGCGTGGGTAATCAAGTGGATGGGCTTCAGGTGTGCAAGCTATCAGTGTAGGTGGATGACGTAATGGTTAATAGTCCGAGGATGGTGACCTCTGCTGGCCAGCGAGTGGAATGACTGGGACCGAGTCGGTGACAGTTAGATCTGAATTTCAGTTTTTAAATGCAAAAAGTAAATTATTGTAGCGGTTGTTTTTTCCTCATTACAAGTTGTTTCTCTTTTCATGTGTAACACTAATAGTTATTCCACAGATTATTTAGTGCAATAACACATCCTTAGGTTTAAAATGTTTTTCAGTTTAAAAGTAAACCAGGTTTAAATGGCAAGAGTTCCTTTGGGGATGAAAGTACCTCTATTATTTATGTCCCACTGCTAATAGCCATACCTTATTTTTTCACTTCCACATTAGAGTTTGCATGCAGTGTTTGTATTCTTATGTTTTATGAAATTAATGCATATTGCCAATAATAATTAAAAACATTTAACATTTTGTTTTGGTGGATTGATTTTCAAATATTTGATGGAGGTGAAATCTAAAATGAATTTTTGCTAAAGATGTTTTGCAAAAATAAAGGATAAAATGTTTGCAGTTGAAATTAACCAGGTCATAGTCAGATATATTGAAAACAAACCAGATTAAGTCAGTACATCTAGCAAATATTGGTGTGTTACTTTTGACTTACCCGCATGTTACTTTCGTTCCTATAGGGTCAAAAGTAACCATTTGCAACTTTTGTTCCCAGATAGCATGTGAATGTGGGCCACTTTAGGCAGTTATGCGGCACTGGTGGTATTCCTTCGGCCCACACAAAATGATAGTGAGCCTGAAGTGGCCCACCTGTACAATGGCAACAGGGGCGAAAGATTCAAATTCATGCACTGCAAAAAAATGCTTTTCTTACTTAAATTTTTTTTCCAAATATCTAAAAGTTCTTAAATCAAGAAGCATTTTCTAGAAAAGCAAAACATATTGTCTTGTTTTTAGAAATAATATGCCAAAATGAAGTGATTTTTGCTTAAATCAAGCTAAATAATCTGCCAATGGGGTAAGCAAAATAATCTTATCACAAATCGAAAAACAAGATTATTTTGTGGGCCGGATTCGAGCCACATGAATTTTGCTAGCTGGGCTTAAAGTGAAGTAATATTGGAGTTGTTCTACATTGATACAAAATACCACCTGATTTTCATAGACCACCCTAGTGAGTTAGTAACCACAGCAAAAATATATTTAAAAAACATCTTAGGGTAAAACATCTTTTAAAATGAAGTTTTCATGAAAAATGTTACTTTCGTGCCAGCTTTGCCATAATTATCGATACGTATTTATCTTGCAAGAAAAGATTGTTTAGATACACACTGGTATCTATGATATTTTTTCCTAATTAACTGGGGATTAGTTCTTGCATTAAAATAATAATAATAAAAAAAATATATATATATATATATATATACATATATATATATATATTGCTCCATCCGTCTTTCTTTTATTCATTAATTCTTGACAAAAGCACCCCCTATGTGCTTTGGCAGCATTGAATGGTAATTAATTTGTTAATTTGAAATTCCATTTAGTTTTTAAATGTAAATATTCCATTTAGACAGTAATACAGAAATATGTTCAGTTCATATTCAAGCAATTAATACAGTGTCTTTCAGAAAATTAACCACTGTTTTACTATGAAAAAAGAGAGAATATTGTATTTCAAGAGTTCCCACTCAGATATGCTTGGCATTTATAGCAGGTTTGGCATGCTGTCCCGGGAGAGAACCCTGAGCTCGGAGATATTTGAGCCCAGGGCTCCTGCCCGGTCTAGAAGCAGATCAGGGGATCCGAGATCAGGTAGGTCTTCATCGCTCCCCCTTTAGAAGGGGAGAAAAAAGAAGGACATGAGGTGGAAGGGGGGATTCTTCCAAAACGAAGATGGAGCAATAAGGAGCAAGTGATCCATTTATATTAAGCTAGGATCATTCTGATTGGATTATTACTGATTACGGATGAGTGGCCAGCGGTGCACAATCATATCACGTGCTCCTCTCGAAATTAGTTTATGAAACTTCACTTAAACTGCAGTGACCACAAATCAGCCAACATTTCTATACACAAACCATGTTTTGATTAGGGTATGTGTAGTAATACTGTGGTTATGCGAATCAGTCAATGCACCAAGAACGGGGTTACTACATTAATCTAAACATGAACAATGGTTAATTTTCATGTGAGTGGGAGAAAGCATTTTACAAAACCTCTCTACCAATGAAACATATACTGTATAATGGCACTGTATTTGATTCCAGTGTATCAGCTGCACCATTTTATTGTGTTGCAGACTTACTCATTTCCTAAAAAGACGTTGGGCCAGACTTCAGTCACCGGAGTCCAGTCAAGTGCACATTCCTTCAGGCGATTCCTAAGTTTGCCTGGGCCATGAGGAATATACATTTCCAGCAGTGAAAGTTCTGTTTTTATTTGACTTTCTATATTACTGCAGCTTGGGCCTGGAAGACATGATGCCCCTTCATCCGCTGGATCCACTTCAGTCCCTAAACACAAATTTGAAGTTTTCATTCAGCATTATATTAAGCTATAAAACAACGTCAAAGTCAAATGCATTTGCTCTGAAGTAAAAAAACAACAACAGATAACTGTGAGCAAATATTGCCTTTAGATACAGCCTAAATGAATTACATTTCACAATACACTAGGGGGAGGCAGTGGCGCAGTAGGTAGTGCTGTCGCCTCACAGCAAGAAGGTTCCTGGATCGCTCGGCTCAGTTGGCGTTTCTGTGTGGAGTTTGCATGTTCTCCTTGCCTTGGCGTGGGTTTCCTCCGGGTGGTCCGGTTTCCCCCACAGTCCAAAGACATGCAGTACAGGTGAATTGGGTAGGCTAAATTGTCCAGAGTGTGTGTGTGTGTGAATGTGTGTGTGGATGTTTCCCAGAGATGGGCTGCTGCTGAAAGGGCATCCTCTGCTAAAAAACTTGCTGGATAAGTTGGTGGTTCATTCCGTTGTGGCGACCCCTGATTAATAAAGGGACTAAGCCGACAAAAAAAATGAATGAATGAATACACTAGTAAACAGAAATCCATTAGACTCCTGAATCAGAGGAGAGAGCTTTTGGCAGGCAGTGAGAATCATCCAAACACATTCAAATAGGCACTCCTTATAAATAAACTACTTATTTGCATTCGAAACAGCTACATTCTCACATTCTTGTCTACCACAAGATCGATACACACAGGTGAAGATTCTGTTAAGTTCTGATATGGGCAAAATACCTGCACGACTATCAGCCAATCAAATTCGAGAACCAGAAAGATCTTTTTAATGATGTAAGAATAGTGAAGAGAGAAAAAACAATTCAGTTTTACTTAAAGGCAAAAACTGGGCAACGTTTGTAATTTGGTGCACCTTGTATCTTATTTAAATGTAAATAAATATATGTAAGTAAATCCATTGTATTGTCTCAATATAAACATATTTACCTATTTGCATGTATACACATTTTTAGCAGTATGTCTGTTTTCTAAAAGTTATACGATTATATTAAGTATTATTGGAACCTTTAAGGTAATAATCAACAATAGGGGGTGTGGGGGGTGGTCAACTTTTTTTGGTAATGTTTATTCATTCATTCATTTTCTTTTCAGCTTAGTGCTTTTATTAATCTGGGGTCACCACAGCAGAATGAACCACCAACTTATCCAGCATACGTTTTTACACAGCGGACCCACTTCCAGCTGCAAACCATCTCCAGGAAACATGCATACAGACTCATACACTAACTTTACCCAATTCACCTGTACCACATGTTTTTGGTTGGGAGCTCTTTTGGGGATCATAAACCGCCCGCCTATGTCATTTTTTTACCCGCAAAAGTAAACCCAAAACCGCCCAATCTGGCAACACTGCCTGCCGGTTTCATATAGGCTACTGTTTAATGGCTAGACTGATTGGCGTGACCATGTATTCACAATGGTATGAACCGTTATAGGGGTGGTCAAATTGCAATTATTAACATTATTATTATTTAAAATACAGATCAGAATGAACTTTTTTTCTCGGTTTCAAAGGGCTGACCCCCAACACATCTTGTTTTGACGTCCTTCAGAGATGATCAAGCCCTAATTAGGAGGGTTAATTACCCCCCCCCCCCCCCCCATATTGATTAAGATTAATTATGTTATCAATTATGTGCCATTTAGGATAAAAGCATCTGCCAGATCATTAAAATAATGTAAATAAAGATCAATAAAACATGGGGAAAAACTGTAACTGTATTTAAAAATGAAAATAAATAAATATTAAGTTCATAAATAAATATTGTAAAGTAGAGAAAAAGCTGTTTGCATTTACCAGTTGGTGTGTTTTTCTCAGTGATTGCAGAAGAGCTTTTTCCAATGCTTCCTCCTGCTGGTTCAGTCATTTTTTTTCAGTTGTGAGCTTCTTAATATTGTTAACGCTGGATGTGCAGTGTGTCCCGATAAAAACCGTCAGCAGGTCCTGTCAAGTGACTCTGGTTCACAGTTCGAAATAAATGCGGTTTTCCTAAACATTACTATAACCATAGCAACCGCTTTGAGTGACAGTTGACGGACTCATTTATCTGTAGTGGAACGCGTGTAAAACTTTGTGTAGTTGGTATAGAAAAACGGCCCATTCAGGTAGTGAATGTCGGCAGCCATGCCCCTGTTTTCAGACGTCTCAGCGGTCTCTTCGGCGTTTTCAATACAGTGAGCGGGAGGGGACGTGTTCGGATCACTATTTTTGTCGTGGCCACGACAAAAACATTAATGATGATGAACATGATGTCGTGGGAACGCGATATGGCGTGGGAACATCATAAAAGGTGAGCCGAACACACCCCCTTCCCGGTCATCGTACATTTCTCAGTGTACATAAAAAATAAAAATTTAATAATTTTTTAACAACGGATATTTATTGCCTAGCTCTGTCAAGTAAATAAAGTAAAAGCACTACATTTTTTAGTAGTTGTGGTTTTTATACTTTAATTCATCATCCAGTTAATAAAATGCTTTACATTTATAATTTAATTATCAGCTTTCATTTACATTTTACACAGTTAAACATTAGTAATAATGTATGCATCATTTATACACCCTTTAGGTGTTTGTGCACATTCCATACCCACACCCAGTTTATCTCCCATAAACTGCAAAAATAATCCAGAAAGCATCTTATGAGACATGCCATTATGCGCTCATTCATGGGGTGGACATGAACAGACATGCTGAAACCAACAGCATGATCCGCAGATTTGATCTTTCCAGAACTCTGCTTGCATACTCGAAGCTGTGAATCACTGCTTTATGAAGTAAAGATGGAATTATTCTTTTCAAAACAACAACAATAATTGAATGATGTGGCTCCCTCTAAAACATGACCACAGTCACACATAAAACACATTATACAATAACTGACTCTATGGCAAGCTATTTTACCATTAATCTAAAAACATTTTTTTCATATGACTTAGTGACTACTCTTTTTTAAATTATAGTATTTATTAATTAGACGCTATATGTTTGTTTATTTATTTATTTATTGAGTGATTGGCCGTGAGGATCATCAGTTCACTGCTCTTTGATGTTCACGGAGTGCAAACACAGATGAGCGATCCGCTGATCTTCGCGGCTTGCACTCGGCGAAGAGCAGTGAACTGAGCGGTGAACTGATGACTTTCATGGCCAATCACAGTGGTTTCTGTTGAGCACTAGTAAATACTATGGCAAATAAGCGCTGTTTAAGAGCGTGCTCAGCTGCGTTTAAATGTTAGCGGAAAATTTACATTTTTAAAATTTCAAGGTTTCTTCCCATCAAAGCCTCGCTTTCATTTTTTAAAATGTCATTCCCGTGAAATAAGCGTATTGAAATGAAAACATAAGCTGCTCTAATAGAATTCGAAAATCAGTATGTACCCGGATGACTTACAACTTACTACTTACAACCTGTTATAAGAAAAATAATTTTTTGTGCTCATAGCTTAGTCTAACTTAGGGTAGAGTGTATAAAAGATTGTTTATTTCTGCAGTCTAACATATATTGTGTTTACTAAATTATAACAGCTTACATCACACAATTTTTAAATTAATCCTATGTAATGTGTATTTATATAGCACATTTATTGTGTATGGCCATACACCCAAAGCGCTTCACAATCATGAGGGGGGGTTTCTCCATACCACCACCAGTGTGCAGCATCCACTTGGATGATGTGACGGCTGCCAAAGGACAACGGCGCCAGTGCACTCACCACACACCAGCTATTGGTGGTGTGGAGAGACAGTGATAGAGTCAATTAGGATGAAGGGGATGATTGGGAGGCCATGATTGTGAGGACCTCGTTTTAACGTCTCATCCGAAAGACGGCGCCCACTGACAGTGTTAAATTAATCCTATTTTATTACGTGTTTTTAAATGTAAGTGCTTATATTCAGCAAGACTTTGTTATAATGCAGATACGGGCGGCCAAATGAGAAGTTCAGGGGGGCGTGGTTGATTTGACGTACAAGCTTGATTCCGCGGCTCCACCTCTTGCTCCATCTGGTAGTTTCTTTTGCCCATGCCCAAGCTTCAAATTCAGCAGCAGTGTTGCCAACTTAGCAATTTTGTTGCTAGATTTAGCAACTACTCATACTACACTAGCAACTTCTTTTTCAAAAAGCACATAGCAATACATTTAGCAATTTTTAACATTAATTTGGCTACTTTTAGCAATTTTTAAAAAGTGACTTAAAAGAGCAGCGGCTGCAGGCTTCACTCAGTAGAGTAAATTGCTAGCTCAGGTTGTTTTTCATAACTGTTAACTTATTGATATTTTTTAACATGTATAATTGTTGATAATTTATGTAGCAATAAATTCCAATAGTATAACTGTCTATAACTGTAATTGTCACTTTTACAAATGTGTTAATTACACAAGTTGGGATTGTTTAAAAGAATGAAACTGTTCATTATCAGTGTTATATTTAAAAATAAAAAATCTTATCAAAAAGTGTTTGTATTAATTTTACAAATAGTCAACTCTATTTTTCATACAAATATAAATATACATATTTCAGGTAATGCTTTTGCTGAGATGGCCAGTCAATTTGAGAAAACATGAATTATTATGTATATTACATAAAGATGTAGTTTTGAGTTGCGATTACGCATTGACGTCATCAGGCAAATTAATATGTTAATAAGAACCTGTTTATTGTGCATCTGGATGTATTGTTTAAATATAATATAATACAAGGCACCTCATAGAGTAGAAACATGACAGGCTTATGCTTGTCAGATACTATGTAATGACGTCACTGATATGCAAAGTACGTGACGCAATCTGGCAACATTTAACTACGGCTGCGTCCGAAACCGCCTACTACTCAGTAGGTACTGCATTTGAATTTAAACGTACTACTCTGCCGTTAGAAAAGTACGTTCTATACAGTATGAATGTAAAAAGTATGAATGGAATTCGGACGTACTACATCCGCCATTTTGTCATGGTCACGTGACCTACCTCTTCTTCTTCATTCTTTTATATCACATTTTACCTGTTTTTATGTTTTGTTTTGTTTTGACGCATTTTTATTATTTGTTTTTATTTTTATTTTACTTGTTTCTTTTATTCTTGTTTATGTAAAGCACTTTGAATTGCCATTGTGTATGAAATGTGCTATATAAATAAACTTGCCTTGCCTTGCCTTACCTGCGTCAGTTGCGTCGCTTTACTTCCATTCATGAATTCGCTCACGGGGCATCATGGGATAGCGCAGCCTGCATGAGATGCGCACTCCGGAATCTCGCCGGAAGTAGTAAGTCATCCGAGTACTTCTCGCATACTGATTTTCAAATTCTATGAATTCGGACATACTACTCGGCTCGCATACTGATTTTGGCGTACTATATAGTATGGAAGTATGCGGTTTCGGACGCAGCCTACTTTTCGGGCAGGCTTTAGCTACTTTTTATTAAAAACAGTTGGCTACACAGTTTAGCAGTCTTTTGCAACAGTTTGTGCCCGTCACGAGGCGTTTTGTCTTAAGCGTTCAATGGGAAAAGGCGCTGTCTCGTCGTCCGTATTTTTTACTGTCATTGTATTGTATCAAATGAATAAGAACTAGATAATGAATAGGAACTACTTAATGAAAAATAGCAGAATCTAAAACGTAAGTAGTAGCATGATGAAAATGAATACTCCTTATAGATTAAACGGCTTGCCATACGGACTCCTCCTATTACAACCTCACATCAAATACTGTAGAGAGAGAGAAGCTCGCCGGACCACATTGGCAAACGCCATACGCACTTTACGCTCGGTTTACTGTAACTGTAAAATATGGCAGAAGAAGAAGCTGGTATTTTTGTTAACCAGGAGCAGTTCAGCTGTCCTATCTGCATGGATCTCCTACGGGACCCCGTAACCATTCCTTGCGGACACAACTACTGTATGGAGTGCATCAAGAGCTTCTGGGAGCAGAAGAGCCAGAGGAAGCTGTGCAGCTGTCCGGAGTGCAGACAGAGCTTCAACCCGAGACCTGCCCTCAACAAAAACACACTGTTCGCCGAAGTTGTCGAGAAGATGAGACACACTGGGACCCGCTCACCTACTCTACCTGCTGCGGCCGGAGCTAAAGGTGACCAAGACACCGTCGGAGAAAAGCTCTGTGAAAAGTTATGTGAGGTACGTGTGTGTACGCGATGCTAAAACTTTAAGACTCTAACAGGTTATTAAGTTACATGACGTCTTCAAACTTGTGTATAGGCTACATTCGTCCAAAGTCTGAAAGTAAATACTAGTGTTTTTTAATATTTACAACTTTATGTTTAAGAATGCTGTTGTGAACTGATTGACTAAATTATATTTATTCTTTCGTTTTTACTACAGTAAACTGTGGTGTATTGTAGTAATAATATAGTTTACTATACAATAAAGCTACAGTATTTGGTCATTTGCTTATATTACTGTTGTTGTTGTTGTGTTTTGCAACTATAGTACCACAAGATACAATTCAAGTGCTTTACTATAGTAGGCCTTTGGTTAAAAAAACACTAGTATTTACTATGATTTATAGTATTTTCTACATGTGGGAATTACATTGTATCGTCAGATAGACCTAAATCTTGCGGAACAAGTAGCAAGTATTTAAATAAAAATGTCAAATGAAACAAAAAGATAGTATCCAATAACTAAGTAGTGTGTTTACAAGGATGAGCTGTTTATTACATCCATCCAACATAATGTATTGTAAATACTGTAGTGTTTTAACCATATTGTAGTGTATTCTTACTCTGTTAACGAATTCTGCTGTATAGTGAACTTATCAAATAAAACAATTGCTTTTCAAAATAATTGTACACTTTACAAAAATGTTGTATTAATTAACATTAGTAAATGCCTTCATTAATATGAATTAACCATGAACAACACATCAGTTAAGCTTTACTTAATCTTTGTTTATGTGAACTATTGATGTGTTAGTTTATAAACAATTCCATGCAAATGTCAACCTTGCCATGAAAAAAATTAAGTTTTCACCAAAATTGCAAAACTGTTTCTGCATTTTTTGTGTAGGCTTGTATTTTACAGTGCTTTAAAAATTCTCAAAAATGTCTCGGTCAGTGTTTTCAAACAATTATATTTGATTTACCAAAGTCACAAAAGTGGTAATTTCACATCTGTCATATCCATAACAGATAGATGTCACATGCATAACCAAGCTTTTTCCTCATAAATGCAAAAATGTTAAATCAAATAAAATCAGTCGTGTTATTTCTATAGTGAGCCAACTCTTATCCTTTTGATTAGCATTGTTTCTTGAGTTGTTCAGTTTAATTCACAGAATTTCTACAAAGTCTGTTGTATACTGTAATATTGCAGACTTTTTTTGTCACATCCATAACGCATGTTTATTTTCCTCATTTAAAAATAAACAAAATGTTTACAGATTTATATTTTTCTGCTCCCACAACTCTGTGGCTAGTTGTTTTGAAAAATATAAAGAGATGTTTCAATATAATGTAAAAAATACTTCCTCTGTCAATATATCACATCCATAATGCTGGAATAGCTCTTATGCATTATTACATAATCTTTGTGAATGTTAACTTGCTCATATATTCTAATGTATCTGTATACATTAGCAGCTTAATTAGTTAGTGTTTACTTAAACATACCTTTGTATGTTTGTTCATTATTATAATAGCCTAACAATGAACAACACATTCAGCAACACAGAAGAAAAAGCTTACAAATAAAGTATACTGTTACTTAATGCTTTGATGAGTATAGTTAGATAATGAACAATGACTCGCATTCTATCTGCACATTATTCATGTTTGTGGATTTACTAACATGATTTATTAGTGATAAAGCATTTGTTAAGGGAATTTGGAACCTTTTTGTAGCGTATACTACTGATCTCCATTATCCAATGTGTTACCAACAATGCTTATTAACATGGTTCAGGGTTAAAGACAAAACAAAGTTGTTGTTCACCATTAGTTTATGCTAACTAATGCATTAACTAACACTAACATTAATATACTGTATGTTTATTTAACAAAGATTTATACATGCCTAACATATTTGTTGTTCATGTTTAAATATAGGTCAAATATATTAAATTGTGTATAATCTAAAACTATTTTTATTTCCTGTTTTAAATGAAATACTTTTTTTTTAAATAGGCTACTTTACTCAATTTGGGAACACCACAGTAACATTAATTAAAGCCTTTTTTAATATGAATTAAATAACTTAACTTCTTATGTATAGAAACAGCTAAATTAAACAATATGTGTATAAAATCAGTTCATAAAAACAAGTTTTATAAATAAATATGTTTTATGTATTGTTTAACAATGTAAAACATATTAGATTTAAAATTTAAATCACAGACACACACACACACATATATATATATATATATATATATATATATATATATATATATATATATATATATATATATATATATATATATATAAACTCACCGGCCACTTTATTAGGTACACCTTGCTAGTACCTGGTTGGGCTCCCTTTTGCCTTCAGTACGGCCTTAATCCTTCATAGTATAGAATCAACAATGTACTATAAATATTCCTCTGAGATTTTGGTCCATATTGACATGATAGCATCACGCAGTTGCTGCAGATTTGTTGGCTGCACATCCATGATGCGAATCTCCCATTCCACCACAATCCAAAGGTGCTCTGTTGGATTGAGTCTGGTAACTGTGGAGGCCATTTGAGTTCAGTGGACTCATTGTCCTGTTCAAGAAACCAGTCTGAGATGATTCGTACTTTATGACATGGTGCGTTATCCTGCTGGAAGTAGCCATCAGAAGATGGGTACACTGTGGTCATAAAGGGATGGACATGGTCAGCAACAATACTCAGTTAGGCTGTGGCATTGACACAATGCTCAATTGGTACTAATGGGTCCAAAGTGTGCCAAGAAAATATACCCCACACCATTACACCACCACCACCAGCCTGAACTGTTGATACAAGGCAGGATGGATCCATGCTTTAATGTTGTTGATGCCAAATTCTGACCCTACCATCTGAATGTCGCAGAAGCAATCGAGACTCATCAGACCAGGCATCTTTTTTCTAATCTTCGATTGTCCAAATTTTGCGAATTGTTGCCTCAGTTTCCTCTTTTTAGCTGACAGGAGTGGCACCCGGTGTGATCTTCTGCTGCCGTAGCCCATCTACCTCAAGGTTGAACATGTTGTGCATTCAGAAATGCTCTTCTGTATACCTCGGTTTGGCTGTAACGAGAGGTAATTTGAGTTAATGTTGCCTTTCCATAAGCTTTAACCAGTCTGGCCATTCTTCTATGGCATCAACAAGGCATTTGCGCCCACAGAACTGCCACTCACTGGATATTTTCTCTTTGTCAGACCATTCTCTGTAAACCCTAGAGATCGTTGTGCATGAAAATCCCAGTAGATCAGCAGTTTCTGAAACACTCAGACCAGCCCGTATGGCACCAACCATGCCATGTTCAAAGTCACTTAAATCGCCCTTCTTTCCATTCTGATGTTTAGTTTGAACTACAGCAGATCATCTTGACCATGTCTGCATGCCTAAATGAGTTGCTGCCATATGATTGGTTAATTAGAAATTTGCGTTAACGAGCAGTTGGACAGGTGTACCTAATAAAGTGGCCAGTGAGTGTATGTATTAAACGACTTATTCTTATTGATACATACATTAATGAGGATCTCCTGGGCTCCTTTATACAATATTATTTCCTCTTTTTTGTTCTTTTTACATGATATTCACACCCCATGAAAACAATTATTATTTTAACAGACCTTTTTATTTAATAAAAATACGAGAAATTAGTGTAATAAGTATTTAAAAATGATAAATTTCTATTCTTAAATAATTTCTTTTATTGCAGTAAAAATATGTTTTACTCTTTAATTTGATTAAAATGAAAAAGGCATACAAACATTTTCATCGGTGTGTTTAGAAAAAGATTGCTTGTATGTATAAATGTCTCTTCATGTGCATCTCATGGTCTGCAGCAAGAGCTCAAGCAATCCCAGAGGAGATGCCAGCAGGTTATAAGGCAGCGTGAGACGGAGCTACAGGATCTGAGTCAGGCTGTAATCTTGCTCAGGGTGAGTCCAGAAGTCCAGTTAGCACCAGAATATTATGAGTCATTATCTTATGGCCCTTCATCAATGAGGCAGAAAGCTTCTGCAGTCTTTAGCTGAGTTTCTAATGATGAACTAAACACTGTACACGAAGCAGCAACAGTTGAGTGCATAAAGTTTCCAACATTCCACACTTCAGTTATCTGTTATATAACATCTGTGTATAGTATGCTTTTACTCAATGTAACTTCATTGTAAACACATTACTCACTCTATTTAACATACAAGATGGCTTCAAATAGTGTATAAGTACATGAATTGACCTATTGGTTAGCTGGCTCACTCCCCTTAGTTACTGTTTCCAACCATAGATATATACACTAGATATCGCATAGGGACCCTGAGCATGCGTCAATAGCGCCGCCACATTGGTACAGTGCTTCCAGGACAAATGTCATTCAACCGCACTAGTCAAGACAGTGTTATTACGTGAAGATGCTGGACTTTAGCGCTGTCTACGGGTGTAGTGACGAGCAAACAAAGAAAACAAAGCACAAAGGCAGAACATTTCATAGGTATTATTGAGTTTTTTTCTGTTTTTGTATGTTCTGAACTTTTGTGCTAATCAGGTAACGTTATTGATGATAACAGTCACTTACTGCATTCACCATAAGGCAAAGCAGCTCCAACTCGCACTAAACACTCGGCTTATGCTAGTTTTGTTGAATTAAATCAGCAAACAATGCAAAATAAATATGACAACGAGATGCTGCGGTGCCAGAAACTTGTATTATTGTCGGCTAACGTTAGTGAAAGAGTCGTTCGGGGGATTCATTCACAAACTAATCGCTCCCTCCGTCAGTATGAGAAGTGAAAGCAGGATGGAGGTGTGTTTCAGGACATTATTAGATCAAATTTAACAGGGAGGGTGAATAGTACATTTCTGTACACACAAACACAAGCTTTTTGTCAGGAATGCCCGTGCGGTCACTGATCCATCAATGTAGAAAAGTGATGTAAAATTATAATTTTCGTAATTAGAAAAAAAAATTACATATTAACATCCAGGAAAACTCCCGATCATAGATATATGTGTATATGTGTATATCTCTGGCTTTGGATGGCCACAGTCCTCCACTGTACCTTGGTCCCGCATTAATTTCAAAGGAGCGCTACCCTGTAGCAAGATGGCGGCGCTCTTGACGCATTCCTTCCAATAGACAACAATAGGCCAGGCGACATCTTATGTATATATCTATGGTTTCCAACTTGGACAAACAAATTGAGTTGCTAACTGCTTTAGAGTTGCTAGTGACTAGAACTGTGAAACCTTTGTCACAAGATGTTTTTGACATTTTATTAATATATGAAAATTTAATAAATAAATATGGCAGATAACAAGTCTAATTTGGAAGTGAGGGTTTACTGATCATAATGCAAGTGAGAGAAGTGGGAGAATGACTGCACATACCACAGTATGAGATTCAATCAGTTTACATTCAACTCACTTTGCTAGTGGCGAATCAGTTCAGCTGATTCGAATGTTATCACCCAATTGAATAGGCGTTATCAGTGGTTATCAGCAGATAGATATGAGCTACTATTAGACTCAGAAGGCTATTATTATCCATCCACATGGTTAATTAGCTATAGATCGGAAGTTTACAATCATTTATATTATTTATAATTAATATTCCCATTAATGGTATTTTATTAAAGTCTATCCCTACCCCAACCCTAAACCCATCCGTCACAGTAATGTGAAAACAGATCTGGATCTGGAATCTTCTCTATTAGTATAGCTGATTAACCGTGTGGATGGATGACCTACCAGCAAGCGCAGAATGCTCCTACTGGCCCATATCTATCAGCTGATAACAACTAATAACCCCCATTCAATCGAGTTTTAACATTCAAAGCGGGTGTTCAACTTAGCTAACATTAGCTAGCTAACATTAGTGCAATGTATCTTAGGGCCTACTCACACTATGCCATCCGTACCGTGCCCAGGCCCGTTTCCCGGATCGTTTGAGAAGTGTGAGTGCGCTTAATCGGGCTCAAGCACAGTTCACTTGGGCGGCCTTGGCCCGATTGGAAGAGGTGTGCCTGAGCCCGGTTCACTTGGGCTTTGGCGCGGTACGCTTGTGTGTGAGTGCAAAACACGCCCAAGCCCGAAACTGAAAGCGAGACGTGACTTTTAAGGGACTGTTTCATATGGATTTATTAATCATTCTTACTGTTCAGTGAACGCAAACTGCCGCAGTTTATTAAAGACGCAAACCCCTAACTGCACAACAGCTGCACGCCTTCAGCAGACCTCCTCATTCCTGCAGCACGAGAGCTTTATGATTGTTTATGAGCGCCAAAAGTGGCGGATCTGTTCGGCAAAATATCTGACTGCGTGTCCCCGCATCTCTAAGGACTGTTTGGCAAAATATTTGATGGCATATCAAACGACTGAAACGTTATAACTAGAGAAATCTCCACTGTGCTGCTGAGTGAGAGAGTGTTTCTCACAGAAAAGCGCAGCAGCGATGACGTAAGCGTGCCGAAGCCCGTTTGTGGTGTGAGCGCGGGCCGTCGGGGGAGACAGGAGGGGGGACGAGCGTGCTTTGGCCCGGTTCGAGGCAACTGTACCTAGTGTAAGTAGTACGGCCTTAAGGTTGAGGCTGTGGGTCTCATATATTAACATCTCAGTAACTTATTGTAAATTGTGAGAATTAGCGTGCACTTATTTTCCCTGTTTTTGTGTGTACGGCATTTCCTATGCACGTTGTGATCGCTAAAATCCAAACTTGAAGGTAAAATGTGCACAGCTCTAAGTAAACGCTAAGTAAACATATTTAACTTATATATTGATTTAACCCTTGTAAACATAGTAAGTGTATTTTTGCACAGATACTATAATCTGCTGTTTTACTCCAAAGAACTTTTTTTTGCACAACCCTACCTAAAGGGTTAATGGTGCCAACTGCCCTACTAAAAAAATAGCTTAAACCAGCCTAGGTTGGTTGGCTGGTTTAAGCTAGTCGACCAGGCTGGTTTTAGAGGGGTTTTAGCCATTTCCAGGCTGGTTTCCAGCCATTTCCAGCCTGGTCTTAGCTGGTCAGGCTGGGAGATGACCAGCTAACACCAGCTTGACCAGCCTAGCCAGGCTGGGAGCCCAGCCCAAACCAGCTATGTCCAGCTTAAACCAGGCTGTTCAAGCTGGTTTTAGCTGGACTTAGCTGGTAATTTTCCAGCCTGACCAGCTAAGACCAGGTCAAAACCCCTCTAAAACCAGCCTGGTCAACCAGCTAAAACCAGCCAACCAGCCTAGGCTGGTTTAAGCTGGATTTTTCAGCAGGGTGAGGATCACCAATAAAAATTACACTTGTGTGACCTCATCCCAATATGGAAAACCAGCATGGATTTGAAAGCAAAAAATGTCATTATAATGTATGTCAATGGGGCAAAAACAGCCACAAACATAACAAAAGGGTAGCACATTTGAACAGTACACAAGGGTTAATCAAGCTTTTTAAAAATCATTATATGAGCTATACTCATTAATAAATATATTAACATTTATTTTGGTGTTTGTTCTCTTTTATTAAGGTTTCTGAGACCCTGTGTTAGCAGACATGGGAAGAAACAAACTACAAATACTTCGTTACTGTCTGTACTTAAGTAGATTTTTCTGGTATCAGTACTTTACTCCACTATTAATTCATTTTTTTACTTTTACTTCTTACATTTTTACACAAATATCTGTACTTTTCTACTACATTTATAAATCACGCTACTTTTTTTTCACGCTACGTTACTTTTGTGTTCATGTGTTAGGTGGTGCGATCTATACATTTTCTTGTGCACAATTTGAACGCATTTTGGATGCAGTCAAGTCTATTTTTCATGATTGTGCGCCTGCGTGCTGCAGTCCGCGGCTTCTCAAAAAGTATGCTAGTGTATGAAGTTTACTATGAGAAAGGCAGAGATGACTACGCAGAAGAGAGAGAGGGAGACAGCAAATTTAACATGACTGATGCTGTTATATTTACAAGGTAATAAGACATTTCGCTCGATTAGATCACAGCTACACAAGAGAGACACATTCCAGTTTAAAAATATGCTATACAAATACTTAAGGTCTTTTGTCCACTTCCAATCTTACTACACAGAGTTTCTCTGCTCTTTCAATATAATACTGCGAAAAAAGTGCTTTTTTGTAAAGTTTCGCACATTTTGTACCAAAACAAATCAAATACTTTATAGAAATGTTATGCATTGAGATTTATTTTACTTATTATTTTCTTCCTTAATACAGAATTGATGCTGTTTAACAGTTTTTTATAGATTTTTACATTGATTTTACATGAATAAAAACAATGCAAAAGATCCTAAATTTATCACATGAATAAAAGATCATGCACGTTTTGTAGGTTGTAGTCATGTCTGTATACAGTATGTTGCTTTTAGCATAGAATACATGTATTAACAGAATTAATGTTTATCCATTAAATGAAATCATTCTGCTAATGCAAAAAAATAAAATAAATAAAGTTTGCAGTCAAATACCATAAGTATTTATTTTGACAAAAGAAAATATATTTTCAATATATTCAATAAAAAATATTCAAATATAAAATAAAAAAATTGCAATATATTTTAAAGATATACAGGCCTGGAGAATTATTTTTAGATTGCATGAACATGAATGGCTGCTGTTGTTTTTGATCTAACAGCCACTAAACAACATTGTGAACGCTGTGAGTTTGCATCAGGATGATGATACATGGGGGAAAAACAGATATTTACCTACCTAGTGAAACTTAAACAAGTAGTAGTAATGGGTACTGTTTACTTAAGTACATTTTTCTTTTTTTTTTCTTTTTACTTGAGCACAAAAGTTTAGTCAGTTCTTCAACTTTTTCCAGAGTCGTTTTAAAGGATGTAAAGGATGTGTGTACTTTTGCCATCTCTGTGTGTTACTATACAACTATATTATAGTATAAGGACTGTGATTAAATCACTTTTGTTGAGTTAAAACTTTGATTCTTAGTTTTGTTTTAGAGCAAATGTATATCTCTGTTGATCTTCTAGATGTTAAAATGGAGTAAACTACATTCTCAGGATACCAGTAATAAGTGTCAAATGCACATTGCTTTACCATTTTTGTACCATAAACACCATTAAACCAATATCTTCCAACGTTTCTCTGTGGTGCTGAAATCAGCCTTGGGTTCCAGCCATTGTGCAACTGATACTGAACTGCCATTGGCTCATCTGCATTGGAGGGGAGGGGCTTACCAACAGCTCAATTGAGACCCACTTTTAGACTCATCATTTCTGTGATTCTGTACTGTCTAACAGAGCTCTGCTCAAGAAGCAGTGGAGGCAACGGAGAAGATCTTCAGCGAGCTCGTTCTTTCAATCGAGGCTCTGTGTTTTGAGGTGACGGAGATGATCAAAGAGAAAGAGCAGGCGGAATTGGATGAATCACATGGATTTATGGAGAAACTAGAGCAGGAGATCGCGGAGTTCAAGAGGAGAGATGCTGAATATGACAGGCTTGCACAGCTTGAAGATAAAACCCAATTCCTGAAGGTAACCTCAGGCACCAAAACACTTTATTTCTGTTCAAAAGGCAGTCACACTAATGACAAGACAGTCAGTAATGGGTGAATAAGTGCCTGCTCACTTTTTCTAACTATATATATTTTTCTATTGGGTAAAAAAAAAAAATCTTTGTACAGTGTCATGTGATGAACCCAACGGACTAACTATGAGGTATTTACAACCAGTGTTGGGGAAAGTTACTTTTGAAAGTAATGCATTACAACAGTGGTCACCAAACTTGTTCCTGTTGGGCCGGTGTCCTGCAGATAGCTCCGACCCTAATCAAACACACCTGAACAAGCTGATCAAGGTCTTACTAGGTATACTTGAAGCATTCAGGCAGGTGTGTTGAGGCAAGTTGGAGCTAAACCCTGCAGGGACACCGGCCCTCCAGGACTGAGATTGGTGACCCCTGCGTTACAATATTGAGTTACTCCCCCAAAAAAGTTACTAGTTCCTTACAATTTTGTCCTTTAAAGGGCACCTATGGTGAAAAATCTACTTTTCAAGCTATTTGGACAGTCATATGTGTATATATAGTGCATAGACCATCATATTGGGGTGATATAAACACACCCAGTCCTTTTTTTTCAAGTTAACAACATAAAAACGGTGGACCAATTGGAGCGGTTTTTAGACTGACCGCAACTTGACGTAGGAGTGCCGCCCCCCCGCCCACCAAATTGATTGACAGCTGCGCGCATTAACATGTCTCGGTAGTCACGTGTATATGTCAACAAGCACAGACGTGCGCAAAGCAACCGGGAATTAGAGGTCTGTTCAGTTCGCTAGGATCAGCAATCATCATCAAATGTGATCAAGAGTAAGTTTCACATGTTAGAAATGTTTTAAAAATGTTTTTCAAAAAGTGCACGTGTGTAATGAAGTACAGCGACTTACTTCAGCTTTACTTCATCAGCACAGCCTCGTGTCAGAACAATTATAAAGAAAGACGCTTCAATCCTGGTTTGTGGACGTTAAATCAGGTTTATTTTGTACGTTAACATAACAGATATCCTCAAAGCAGTGGAGATTAGCCTGTATCCTGTCACAGTGCAACACAGTGTGTATCTGTGTGTGTGTGTGTGCGCGTGAACGATGTTGCGTGTGACTCATCAATGCAACTGCACAACAAATACTGATTGGTAAAGTACTTACTGTAGTATTTCTCACAAACGCTACATTAGACCTTCTTCCTTTAAGTCTGTTGTCTGACGCAGCCAAGGGAGGAGAATAAGGCACGCAGGAAGCCATGTAGAAACAGTAGGCGGGGAGGACTAGCCTTAAAGGCGCAGTACGACAAAACCACCCCCTGGTGGAAAAATGTATAAAACAGGATCTTGTAAGAGGTATAATGAAAAATCTAATGGGTGTTTTGAGCTGCAACTTTATATACACATTCTAGAGACACAAAACTTATATTAAATCTGAAAAAGGGGTAACCTAGGTGCAGTTAGATATATAAACTGTACCTTTAAACAATACGAGCATTTATAGCAAATAAACAAATAGTGCTGGAGAAAACTCTCGCAGACACACGCTCGTGTCACGCACACGCACTGAAATTGTGCACAGTTTCTGTGTTTTTAAGTAGTTGGTGCGTTGTAAATACTCGCGCTCCCCTCCCTTGCCATAGTAAGCTATTGCGACATAGCGCATATGGAATAAATGACGTCAATACATAATAACCGGTTATGATTATTACTGAACCGATACCACGTCTGTCCACGTCTGCATGGCAGTGGACAGAGGAAACAATTAATTTTGACACCCCTAGTATAAGACTATATACTCAATGGCTTTAATGAAGAAAACAACTACAGTCCAATGAAACAATTGAAAATTATACAAACTATTTAAATGACAGAGAAATAGGAAACATTGATTTAAATTTGTTCGTTGCATCTATAAACGTTCACATACATATGTAAAGGGAAGTTGCAGATGAAGATAAACTGAAGAATAATGAAAAATAAAGCCGTTGATATATATATATATATATATATATATATATATATATATATATATATATATATATATATATATACATACACATATACATATATATATATATATATATATATATATATATATATATATATATATATATATATATATATATATATATATATACACACACAGTATATTTAAGTATTGATATAGTATTGATATACAGAATAGGAGTCTGTGTTTTTTGTGGTAGTCGCCTCCATTTCTGGGACATACCTCATTTGTGAGCATCAGTGAGCTTTAAAAAAACAAGAAAAACAAACTGTTTTTGTCTGTTTTTGTCTGTTTAAAATATTTCTTTAAGTATTTGGAGGGTACAGGGAGACTTGATTATGTTAAGTATGACTGTGCTTTATGGAAGTGGGTGTTGCTGAATATCTCTTTGCAGACCATGGCTAAAACCACATACTTCCATACTTTATAGTACACTAAAATCAGTATGCAAGCCGAGTATTATGTCCGAATTCTTAGAATTCAAAAATCAGTAGGCGAGAAGTACCCGGATGACTTACTATTCTAAAGTGCGCATCCCATGCACACTGCGCTATCCCATGATGCCCCGTGAGGGAAGTTAAGAATGCGAGTGAAGTGGCGCAACTGACGTCTAGGTCACGTGAACATGACAAAATTTCGAATGTAGTACGTACGAATTCCATTCATACTTTTCACATTCATACTGTATAGAACATACTTTTAAATTTAAGTGCAGTACCTACTGAGTAGTAGGCGGTTTCGGACGCAGCCTATGATTCTGTTGTTGGGGAATTCTCTTCACAGCATCATGGGTAATATAGTTTTTTGTACAAATTACATTATTAAGCATGATTGCTTTAAAAGTCATTTGAAATAATGCTAACGGACAAGTTAAACAAAATGGATTAACAACCTCAGAGCGCACAAAAGGTTTAGAAGTAAGTTCCTTATGGACAAAATAATGGAGTTTTACTCCCAGAACCCATCTCTTGCACTATTTACCCCCGTTGGCATCAGTTGGTGCTTGTTTCCTCTGCTTGAACATGATTGGGAAGTCACATACTGTTCATTATTATTGTTGGATATCTGTCACTGCAGTCTGCCTTATAATAGTTTTTTAAATTTAATATCTCAGGGTTATGAAACGCTGTGCAGTCTGCCTGAGTTGCTGACCTCTCCTGCAGTTCTGGTTAATCCAGACTTCTGTTTCGAGATGGTGGCAAGAAAGCTCACGTACCTGAATGAGGAAATTAAAGACCTGTGCCAGAAGAAATTGGTGAAATTATCAAAAAAAGGTAAGATGTCATGTGAATATGTTTGAAACGGCATGCTGACAAAATACTGTACATTTTCAAGATAGTAACTTGTGCATGTTTTAATGTGAGACTGACATCGGGTTGTTTGTTTAATGATATATATTTGTAAATTAGTTATAGAACATCAACACTCAAATAGGTTTGGCAAATTTTTGAGATGACAACTGGATGTCATGTGATGATGTAATTTAACACTCAAGTTGCATATATTATTAGTATTAGTAAACCATTTACATTAAATATGTTTAGTTTTTATTTATGTATCTATTAATTTATTTGTTTGCAGTGGTGTAATGTAACTAATTACAAACTACTGTAATTAAGAAGTTTTTGTCAGGAATTGTAATTTACTAATAAGTTTTTTAAATGTGTACTTTTACTTTCCCTTAAGTACATTTATAGTGCAGTATCTGTACTTTTACTCCCTACTTTCCTTCAACCTGCAGTTACTACTTTATCTTCTCTTGTCTATGGGGATTAGAAAACATCCAACCTAAAATCAAACAAATATCAAGGTCAAGATTTTCTTTAATATAGTAGCCTAGGCCTACTAAATTTTTTATAATCGGCGTAAGGAATAACTGTATAAATTAAATCACTGGTATATTAGTGATCAAAACATGTGCATGACTGCATAAATTATTATCCTCTTTTTTATCGAATATTAGGAATGTACACGTTTAAATCTAAAAAGTTAATCTCAATAAATTTTCTCTTTGAACCACCAGGTGGCAGTATATATATATATAATTTTATATATTAATATATAATTTATATATATATATATATATATATATATATATATATATATATATACACACACTTTCAGTATTATCTTAGCTTGAACTGACCTAATCTAATAATGTTTATATGAAATTATCCGGCTCCTACGCAGGCTTGAGCTAACAGAACTGTTACTATGACAACAACTCTCAGATGAGTTTTGAAGAACGTAACGATCATGGATCGTGTCAAATTGTCAATATCCAAATCCAGCTAATTGAGTAATCCACGTGCGAAGAATAGACCCCTGCTTGAGCTTAAGAGATTGTATAATCGGCCGTTTCAAGACTCAATGTTATGGGAAACCGAACAAACAAGAATAACATACAATAACAAATCTAAGAGAATATTCAATCATAATCTAAAGTAATATTAAAAGAGAAAAAAAAACAATCTTATCAATGTTTTATAAATAGAGTCAAATAAAACGAGGATAAATGTATCAATATTCTAAACCACCTCATACTGAAATTGGAGTCAGATATGAGTTAACGTTAAAGTAAATCAACATTGTGCACTATAAAATGCACATGCAGTGAACCTTTATCCACCAGTAGACACCATCATTGGACTGGCTGGACCTTACATAAGTACAGGTCTACATTTTCTATGGTATTCAGTAAAAACATGAAGTTTAATAAAATACCATTAAACAATCAAAAATTATATAAAAATAGTACTAATGTTTGCATTTTGTCTTAATAGTTACAAGACTCAAGTTCATCCCAACACCTGAACCAAAAGTCAGAGAGCAGTTTTTGGAATGTGAGTAACACACACACAAACACAAACACACACACACACACACACACACACACACACACACACACACACACACACACACACACACACACACACACACACACACACACGTATACTGTATGTGGCTTACAAGTTACAAATTGTTGGTAACAATTTACAGTAAGGATGTATTAGTTAATGCATTTACTAACATGAGCCAAACAACGAACAATACATTTATTACAGTATTTGTTCATATTAGTTAAAGAAAATAGAATTGTTCGTTATTAGATCATGTTAACTCATGATGCATTAATGCTAACAAACATAAATTCTGAAATGCTGTACAAGTATTGTTCATTATTGGTTCATGTTAGTAAATAAGTTAGCTTCTATTCACTAATGAAACCTTTCTGTAAAGTGTGAACTGACTTATTACTGTACAAAAACATTATATATTGCCTTATGCCGAGTTCAGACTGCGTGATTTTCAAAGTAGTTGTGTCACAGATGTTTTCATGCTGTACAGCTATCTGGGCTAGCGTTTTGTTGCTGCTTTGTTTACACTTCAAGATAGATCAGCGACAGGGGCTTTCACATTGCATGACTTTACAATAGGAAGAATCGCCGATAACTTCGTCCAAACTACGTCTCACAGCCAAAAAAAATAGTATATCTTTTGTCATTACCTACATAATAAGAAAAAGGCTTTTAATGGGGTAGAAAATTTACATATTTGCTCTCCTGGGTTTGAAGGGAATTAGCTATTTCTCCTCACACGGTTGTGATATTGCTCACATGACATGTCAAACAGACACGGATGCTCCTACCCAATTTACACTAGCTTTTCCTCCATTTCTTGGGTCTAAATAAACTGAAAATGAGCACTTTTAACTTCTCCCCCAGCCTCCCGCTGACCTGCAGGTACACACACTAGTCTAGTGAAAGCTGCTCTCTCATTGGCTCGTAGGCGATCGCCAATGTTATTTTCAGTCAAAACTCATTTCACACGGCATGATTTGAATCGCCGACAGCTCCAGATATTTAGCACGCCAAATATCTCACAGGCATCGGTGACTTAAGCCTGGTTTATACTTCTGCATCAAGTTACCGGCGTAACTCACGGCGAAGGCAACGCGCGTGGCTGTGCATTTATACTTCTGCACGCTGTCTCTGTTGGTCTGCATTAACACTTCCAAAACGCTAGTTGGCAGTGAGGTGTAAATGTTCCTCAGTGTTGAGTTTCTTCGCTTCTGTTTTGCTTTTCCTGAACACTTCCTGGTTGTACAAGTGACTTAAACTCGCTCATTTTGAGGCAGGAACCGGCGGACGTGCAACAACTTTAACTATGAGGTAAACACAAAACAAAACTTTCCATCCGGAGCTCCTTCACGGGACTCCACACTTGTAAACAATCGCTTGCGCCATTCGCGCGGCTCTCGGTCCCGCTCAGATTCGTCAGCGAAACCAAGCCGACCAATCACAGAGCTTGGGCTATGCGTCGTTGCGACGTGTAGTTACAATTTTTGAGAGGTGCACGTCAGCCACGCCGACGGCCACGGCGAAGGGCTATGCGTCAGCGCCGTAGCATACGCCGGCGTTTGACGCAGAAGTATAAATCAGCCTTTATTGGCGATTCTCTCAGATCGCGTCTTTGATAGTTCATTCTGTGTGATTTTCACTTACGTGAACGAGCACCGATTTGCCTGTGATTTCAGGCATTTGTTGTCGATTTCTCAAAACCTGTCAGCGAGTCAAAATCGGGGCTAAAATCATGCAGTCTGAACTCAACATTACTCTACCCCTAATCTAACCCCAAACCTGAGGCAAAATAGTGTCAAGTATAAGGGTAATACCCCATGTCACTATACAATTCTGTGTCCTTGTAAACACATCAATCAGAACACAATCACACACATTCAGATTTCATGTTTTATGGGGAATTCCTATAGAAGTAAATACACTCACTGGCCACTTTATTAGGTATACTTGTCCAACTGCTTAGTGCAAATTTCTAATCAGCCAATCACGTGACAGAAACTCAATGCATTTAGGCATGTAGACATGGTCAAGACGATCTGCTGCAGTTCAAACCGAGCATCAGAATGGAGAAGTAAAGTGATTTAAATGACTTTGAATGTGCCATGGTTGTTGGTGCCAGACGGGCTGGTCTGAGTATTTCAGAAACTACTGGGATTTTCACGCACAACCATCACTAGGGTTTACAGAGAATGGTCTGACAAAGAAAAAATATCCAGTGAGCGGCAGTTCTATAAGCGCAAATGCTTTGTGGATGCCAGAAGTCGGAGGAGAATGACTGGTTCGAGCTGATAGAAAGGCAACAGTAACTCAAATAACTATTCGTTACAACCGAGGTCTGCAAAAGAGCATCTCTGAACACACAACATGTTGGTCCTTAAGGAGGATGGGCTACAGCAGCAGAAAACCACACTGGGTGACACTCCTGTCAGCTAAGATCAGGAAACTGAGGCTACAATTGGCACAGGTTCACCAAAACTGGACAATAGAAGATTGGAAAAACGTTGCCTGGTCTGAAGAGTCTCGATTTCCGCTGCAACATTCGGATGGTAAGGTTAGAATTTGGCGCCAACAACCATCTATCCTGCCTTTTATAAATGGTTCAGGTTGGTGGTGGTGATGAAATGTTGTTGGACATATTTTCTTGGCACACTTTGGGCCCGTTACTACCAATTGAGCATTGTGTCAATGCCACAGCCTACTTGAGGATTGTTGCTGACCATGTCCATCCCTTTATGACCACAGTGTACCCATCCTATATCGCATCCGATAACATGCCACATAATGAAGTGTGAATCATCTCAGACTGTGGCATTGGCCACTCAAATGGCCTCCCCAGTCACCAGATCTCAATCCAGTAGAGCAGATTTGGGATGTGGTGTGTGGGAATATAAATTTATATAATCTATATATAACTGAAAAGTGATATTCTTTGGTTTTTAGGGTGTGACAGACCTTAAAATGTCTTGGTTTCCTGTCCTTAAAATAATGCAAGTTGTCAGTTTCACAGCACAGCTAAGTCTATTGTATAACAAATGGTCAAGCCGGTCAACTGCTCGGACGGGTTCTGTCTCCAGAACATCATTTGCACACTGTTTTCATCCCTGCTGAAAAAAAACAGCTTAAACCAGGTTTTAGCTGTTCGACCAGGCTGGTTTTAGAGGGGTTTTGGCCATTTCCAGGCTGGTTTCCAGCCATTTCCAGCCTGGTCTTAGCTAGTCAGGCTGGGAGATGACTAACTAAAACCAGCTTGACCAGCTTAGCCAGGCTGGGAGCCTAGCCTAAACCAGCTATGTCCAGCTTAAACCAGGCTGGTCAAGCTGGTTTTAGCTGGATGTAGCTGGTCATTTTTCAGCCTGACCAGCTAAGACTAGGCTGGAAATCAGCCTGGAAATGGCCAAAACCCCTCTAAAACCAGGCTGGTCAACCACCTAAAACCAGCCAACCAGCCTAGGCTGGTTTAAGCTGGATTTTTCAGTAGGGATGCTAAAATATATTGTGAATGGTTACCCGGCGGACAACAACACTTCATTTGCATTCTTTGTTTTAGACTGTCCCCACCTACATGTATCAATGTCTTTAAAAATGTATTTAAACTCAGTGTCTGCTCTACTAGTTGAAAGTTTTCTTTCGATAACGCCACAGCAACGCTGAGTTCTTCTGATTAAAGGATTCTGCCTTGAAGATACCCAAAAGGTTTTCCTTGTTTTCGGCTCGTCCTAGAATTTCACAACAGTTTTTGGTGCCGTGACCCGGATAGAGAAACTCACAATAGTTGGAACAGGAGATTATCATCATGGATGTGCAGCCGACAAATCTGCTGCAAGTGCGTGTTGTTATAATGTCAATATGGGCCAAAATCTCTAAGGAATATTTCCAGTACCTTGTTGAATCTATGTTACGAAGGATTAAGGAAGTTCTGAAGGCAAAAGGGGGTCCAAACTGTTACTAGCAAGGTGTACCTAATTATGTGGCCGGTGAGTGTATGTTCCTATACTGTACAGACAGTATATTCTGTCCTCTTATGCCTCTTACATTGCTATAATTCTTTATTTTGCATGATTTAAGAGCTGTAGTCAATATTGTGGACAAAAAGTTAAAGTTTGACAAGCAAATAAACTCAGTCGTCAAAAGTGGTTTCTATCAATTAAGGAAAATTGTCAAATTGAAGCCTTTTCTTTCTTTTAAAGAGCTGGAAACTGTCATTAATGTTTTTATTATGTCAAGACTGGACTACTGTAACTCTTTGTATTCTGGAGTTTCACAGGCATCAATAGCACGCCTGCAGCTGGTTCAAAATGCAGCTGCTAGGCTTTTAACTGGGACAAAAAAATTCTCTAGTATCTCACCAGTTTTATTGTCTCTTCACTGGCTCCCAGTCCAATTTAGAATTCAATATAAGTTATTGCTTCTAGTTTTTAAAAGTTTGAATGGTCTGGCACCGACTTACATTTCTGAGCTTCTTCACTGGCACACTTCATTGAGGCCAATCAGGTCTGAAAACACATTTCAGCTAGTTGTCCCCAAAACGCGGTTGAAATCAAGAGGTGACAGGGCTTTTTCTGCTGCAGCCCCCCGACTGTGGAATGGTCTGCCTTTACAGATCCGGTCATGTTCTTCACTTGGTGCTTTTAAGTCTCATCTAAAAAATCACCTTCTGTCTCTTGCCTTTGATTGTAATTAATTTTAATCTGTTTTATATATTTTGCTAATTTTTTATATATAGGTATAGATTTTGTATGCTGGTCGTTTTGTAAAGCACTTTGGTCAACATCTGTTGTTTTTAAATGTGCTCTATAAATAAAGCAAACAAACAAACAAACAAACAAAAAAATCTCCACACGGTCAAAAATGACTTGCTCTATGTGTTGTGTTGCTGTTATGTGATAGAATGCTATAATATGACATGTGTGATGAATACCAGGATCACGCACACTCATACATACAACGAAAATCACAATAAACAGCTGTCACATTTATCCACATGTCATGTCTGTGTATTTCAGATTCGGGCCCTCTAACACTCGACCTGAACACGGCTCACAAAAACCTCATCATCTGTCCAGATAATGTTCAGGCGACGTTCAGCAAGACTTATCTATCTGTCCCTGACCACCCAGAGCGTTTTGACGGCTACTACCAGGTCTTGTGCAGAGAGAGCGTGTCCGGACGGTGTTATTTCGAGACCGAGTGGAGCGGAAAGGGTCCGGTTCACATTGCAGTGTCCTACGAAGACATCAGCAGGAAAGGAAAGAGCAGCCAGTGTGCATTTGGACACAACGCTCAGTCCTGGAGTCTGGTGTGCTCCGATGGCTCGTATGCGTTCTGGCACAATGGAAGAGAAACCAAAATCCCCAAAACGCAGTGGGCTCACAGGGTTGGAGTTTACGTCGACCACTCTGCAGGGGTTTTGGCATTTTACAACATCACAGACTCAATGAATCTCATCCACAGAATCAGGGCTGCATTCGCTCAGCCGTTGTATCCAGGGTTTAGAATTAACCCGGGGTCCAATGTGAGTCTTTGCTATCCACTTTAATGACGCTTAATCCTTGTTGGTACTACTGTATACGCTTTTTTGGTAAGACTTTATAATAACTGCACACTATGAATCGTTTATTAAGCAATAGTAAATAGCTAATTATTGACAAATCAGTTTATAAATACAGCTACAGCTACTTGTAAAGACCAAGAGCGTAGGTTGCAATTGACATCGGTGGTGAGGAGTGAATCTGGGTGGTGAAGTGGGATATATATATATATATATATATATATATATATATATATATATATATATATATATATATATATATATATTCACACAGGGTGGGCTATTTATATGGATAAACCTTAATAAAAAGGGAGTGGTTGGTGATATTAACGTTCTGTTTGTGGCACAGTACTATATGTGAGTATCCGTAGTTTCAGGTGCTGCACATCTTGTATCTTCACACCGTAGACAATTGCCTTCAGATGACCCCAAAGAATAAAGTCTAAGGGGGTCAGATCAGGAGACCTTGGAGGTCATTCAACTGGCCCACGACGACCAATCCACCTTTCAGGAAACTGTTCATCTAGGAATGCTCGGACCTGACACCCATAATGTGGTGGTGCACCATCTTGCTGGAAAAACTCAGGGAACGTGCCAGCTTCAGTGCATAAAGAGGGAGACACATCATCAGGTAGCAATTTCAAATATCCAGTGGCCTTGAGGTTTCCATTGATGTAGAACGGCCCCACTGTCTTTGATGTCTATGATGTGAAGATACAAGATGTGCAGCACCTGAAACTACGGATACTGGAAGCCTCTGCTGGCGTTTCTCTTGCAGTGTTGCGATCAGTGTGTGAAGAGTGGGAGAAGAGGCTTGCATTGACAATCCAACATATAGGGCAGCACATTGAACACATTTTATAAGTGGTCAGAAACTTGTAAATAACTCATGAAAGAATAAACTTACTTTAAAACCAAGCATAACATTGTTTTTCTTGTGAAATTCACAATAAGTTTGATGTGTCACATGACCCTCTTCCTATTGAAAAAACTAAAGTTGGATCCAAGATGGCTGACTTCAAAATGGCCACCATGGTCACCACCCATCTTGAAAAGTTTGCCCCCTCTTATACACTAATGTGCCACAAACAGGACGTTAATATCACCAACCATTCCCATTTAATTAAGGTGTATGCATATAAATGGCCCACCTTGCATATATATATATATATATATATATATATACTGCTATTATTTATTTAACTGCTATTAAAGTATTAATAACTAATCCACTCTTCATACAGATTATTATGTTTTAGGCCTGTAGCCAAGGGGGGTTCGGATGGTTACTATTATTATTGAATTTTTCTTATTATTCAAACGGCCACATTCTGACTAAGGAATGTTGAATGTTCTGGCCAGTTTGTTATTTTTATATTAAATCCACACTTAAAAAAATTATAGTAATAATTTGACAAAATAGTTGGAAAATTTTGGTACATCAAAAAGCATGGTTTTAATCACCATCCGACAAGATAATCCAGCAAAAATTAGTTCTTAAAATGTCACTAAAATGCAATATTTATACCTCATAATTAAATAGAAAATCAAGCAAATAACTGCAAAAAGGTTCAGTTTATCAGAAATAAAACAGCCACCCCTATTATAAGGCTGGCTATAGGCCTGATAGTGTAATTTAAAAAAAAAGTTTATTATTAAAGTTTATTAAAAGTTTATTAATAATAATTATTTTATTATTATTCATTTTAATAAAGATTTCCGTTTATTTTTGCCATAGTGCAAATGAAACATCTCTCATATATCAGTATTTTGCCTATAGATGTATTACCATGTTTGTAAACATTCAGTATGCGAACGCAGGGCGGTGGCAGCAAAAAAACGGGAGCGCTATTATTTACAGCAAGGGAATGACATCCGATGCGGTACAGAGTTTGTTGTTTTAGAAATAAATTATATTGATTACATCTTTTATATATCAGTACTATGCCAGACTATGTGTCTACTGAATTAGGACATGCTACGCTGAGAGATTAGGAGAACTGGAAATCATATACTTTAACGTTAGCTGTTTATTCTGCAGTAAGTTTTCAAGGCATATTATTCACAAGCTATATCAGCCTGCTATATAGCGATAGACTGTGTGTCATTAACGGCATTATCTTGATGGACACATTTAGTAGCGAACTTACGTTTACAGTTTATAACTTACACTTTCGTTAAAAAAAGCACCTTATGTCCACCGTTTTTTGCTGCCGTCATCCTCACTTGTGTGTCACCCAACACACCATACTCTAGCACTGGATAAAAACAATCCATTGCATTTGGCGCTGCTTATATCTGAAGGCAGCCACAGCCTCTCACATGATAGCAGGCAAAGGCACAGCCAATCAAAATGTCCATATGCATTTTGGGGGCGGGAGAACTCAAGGAGAGAATGTGATTTAACCCTTTCTGCGTGTCTAGGTCTCTATGGTCTAGGTCAGGGGCGGGCAAACTCAAGTGGTGCTCGCTGCAGAGCCATTTGAGGAGAGGTGAGTTCCAGAGAGGGGGAGCTTAAGCTTGAGCTCCACCTTTTTTGCACTTCTTCTACGAGTGATGTCACTGGGGGTAGGGTTAGGGGCGGGGTTGGTGTACGCATTAAAACAGCTTACAGGAGGAGGAGCGACAGCTCATGCTCCCCCTCTCTGGAGCTCACCTCTCCTCAGATGGCTCTGCAGCGAGCACCCTCTCGGCAAACTCGGTCCTGGAGGGCCAATGTCCTGCACAGTTTAGCTCCAACTCTAATTAAGCGCACCTGATTATAGATTTCTAGTGATTTTGAAGACACTGATTAGCATGTTCAGGTATGTTTAATTAGTGTTGGAGCTAAACTGTGCTGGATGAGTTTGCCCACCCCTGGTCTAGGTTAATGTTGATAGCTCGATTTAAAAAAAATAAAAAATTAAAATAAGGTGGATTAAATTATTGGTAGGTACATTTCTATGGTCAGTGGATATTGATGGGGACGCGTCACCTCTGTTCACCCTAAATCTACGCCCCTGGTAAGGACATTAGGAGATTTTATTTTCCAACATAGGTTTATTGTGAAAACGTACCCTTATATACATTTCTGGAGACCGCGAATTATGTAGCCAGTGGCACGTATGGCTGTATTTAATTTTTTAAACGAACGCTACGGGGCGGTATGACGCTCCATATGGACAGCTTTCCCTCTGTAACCAGTTTATCCCATTAGCTCGCCATGACATCGGCAGACTTGAGAGGCAGAGAGGAGTTGACCACGACGACGGGATTCGAGTCGAGTGAAGAACGGTTCCAAAAAGCAGGTAAGACAAAAACAGGCCAAAAAATAAAATAAGTAAATAACAGGGTGAGAATGTGGTAAAATCTGAAAACGTGGTAAAAATCTGACGAAGGCTTTTCTTTTTCTGGATTGCTTTTGAAAATTGTTGGTTGGGTTTAGGGAAGTGGGTGGGTGGGTCAATCAATACAATTGGTAGGGTTTAGAGAAGGAGGAGGGTGGGTCAGTCGATTCATCCATTCAGGCAGCCAACAGTGGCCTCTGGTGGATTTACGTGAGAACAGCAGGTGGAAATGGCACTCGCGAGAGAAATTTGAAATCTCAAAAAGCATACACAGCGACATCTGTTGAATTTGAAACATTGCAATTAATTAATCGCAAGTGGCTGCAATAATAAATGTACATGTGCACTATATATATGTAAACCAAATTAAAGAATAACATCTGAGGTAAAGTGCTTCAAAATCAGTCCGCTATGCTTCAGGAAACTAAACTCCTTCAGAAACTACCTGGATGACGGAGGCTTTCAGCGGTGCTTCTGACTGAGCCGAGTCCAGTTTAATGAACTGTTGTCGGTGTAGGCTAGAGGATTTCCCCCGGGACACTAACAACAGGTGCTACGTCACAATCACGCCTCCACAAGAGCAAGCTCCTGATTGGTTAATGCGGCGTGAATGTCCGGTGAAGTTCAGATTTTGGAACTCGAGCGATTTGCGCGAAACGCACGTCAAACCTTCAAACGCTAAATTTGCGCTATGCTATTCGTGAACAGTCAGAACAGAACAAACTATCATTACACAATAACTCGCCTAATTACCCTAACCTGCCTAGTTAACCTAATTAACCCAATTAAGCCTTTAAATGTCCCTTTAAGCTGTATAGAAGTGTCTTGAAAAATATCTAATCAAATATTATTTACTGTCATCATGGCAAAGATAAAATAAATCAGTTATTAGAAATGAGTTATTAAAACTATTATGTTTAGAAATGTGTTGAAAAAATCTGCTCTCCGTTAAACAGAAGTTGGGGGAAAAAATAAACAGGGGAGCTAATAATTCAGACTCCGACTGTAGCAAATACGCCAATAAAGAACCTTTCTTTTAATAGTGAGTTTACAAATTAGTGACAATGGGGTCTTTTCACTGCACTTTTGAAAAGTTTTGCATATTATAACACAGTTCATGTTTTTACTGAAACGTTTCACGTCTGCGCACTACAGTGCCTTTGTTTTGGTTTTGATGTATTAACATAACTAAACAACACATGCATAAGTCTATATTTTCACAGAATCAAGTTTTTGTAGTGTACACAATATTCATTTTTAGGCCCTCAAAACATTGTTGTGTAAACAATTTCATAATAAGCGTTGGGTTTTTTCTTTTGACAAAAAAGTTTTATTGTGTGTTAAACATACTTGCCATTAAAATATTAAACTCCAAATCAAGATTCTCCTTCACAAACCACATTTACAGTGTCTTTTATTAAAAAAAAAAACAACAACAAAAACATTCATCCCATTTCCATACACTACTGTAAATACAACAATAATAGTGATTACAATAATAAGAACAACAACAGCTTTATATTCATCACAGATTCAGACGTTAGTCTACATTTTTAAAGGTGATGTGTTGGTTCAGCACAAATGAAATTGCAAAAATAATGACATTTTTCCAAGCTGTTTTCTTGAACACTTTTAGTCTGCCATTGGTCAAACAAGTTCATTCACACAGCGGTTGAACCAATGTTATTGTCAGCAAGATGTCGTCTTTAAAAAGGATAGTTCAACCCCCAAACAAAAAAGAAAAGTCAATTATGCCATCGTTTACTCCCCCTCCACTTTTTCAAAACCGGTTTCTTTTCCATACTGATCACAAAATCTGTTAACTTGAAGAATGAAACATTCAATCATCAAGTAAAGTAATTTCTATTATGTTTTTTTACAATGTAAACTGTGTCGAAGAAGCTTTAC